GGACGACGCCATTCAAAACTTAAGTGTCTGAGTATCGAATTTTCACCTGAAGTTGTAAACAGACAAGAAGTTGGCATGGAATAAATGACGTTTGTCGTCTCCATGAGAAATCTGCCCACAAAATCTCGTACCAACAGGTTAGCAGTTCGTTCGACAGAGGAAGCAAGTTAAATAAAAGGTTGTATAAAATATACTTGAAATAAAGACAACTTCTTCAAAGCTTGAACAGTGTTTTACAAAACATTAAAATAAAACAGGAAGTAAAATTAATCTTAACAAATGTCAAGGTCAATGTCTCCTGGAAGCACGAGCCTTGGTTTTATTGTCAGTTTCAGCTTCTTTATAGGCTTGACTTTTTAGTGGTGTAGCCTAATTTCAGGTTCGCTGTCAAAAGCCCGTTAGTAATTATTTGTGGTTGATTGTAATGTCTTTTAAATCGCGTGACTTGTCATTAGCAGGCATTTAGGCTGCAAGGGACAGGCGGGCATTTTAAAAGTTGACGTCCGGTCACCCACAGCCGATTGCTGCAGTCTTTGAATGCTCAGACCGCCTGACGGAGCGGAACGTGTCGTCTAGTCCTGCGAGAATGGCCACCATCTGTGTTTGAGTGCTATAGCACTGTTAGGGTCGTGTATCTGTGGCCCCGATCAAATTGAATATCCTGATAAGTTCTTCTCTCATGACCACTGGAGGCCTTTCGTCCTGCAACTGGTCAGATGGAAATACTCATTCAAGAAAGGAATTTCCTTGACACAAGAGCTTACGAGATGTCGAGTCCCTAGAGCACCTTGTTGTCTGTGGAAACCATATAAGTCACCTGATGTCAGCCTTCATCGTTTATGAACAATTTACCCGGCTGGTTGGGTCAGGCTGCTTACATAAAAGGATATTTGATCGCCCACTGATTGGGGGCTGTCCATTAATTTCGCACTTTTGATCGATTTAATTTCCCCCGTGTCGAAAAAATGTTGCGTAATAGTACATGTAGAACCCCCCCACACTCAAGGAGAACGGTACACCCTTGACAGAACACAGAGTGACCAACAAATCAAAGCCCAGTTGTGGTCAAAACCCCTATGGTCAAAGTCCGCGCACCTTATAATGGTGACACATCGACACAGTCAAATGGTGGCATACAACACAGTCAAATGGTGACACAACGACACAGTCAAATGGTGACACTATGACACAGTCAAATGGTGGCATACAACACAGTCAAATGGTGACACAACGACACAGTCAAATGGTGACACTATGACACAGTCAAATGGTGACACTACGACACAGTATAATGGTGACACATCGACACAGTCAAATGGTGACATATAACACAGTCAAATGGTGACACTATGGTACAGTATAATGGTGACACATCGACACAGTCAAATGGTGACACTATGACACAGTCAAATGGTGACATATAACACAGTCAAATGGTGACACAACGACACAGTCAAATGGTGACACTATGACACAGTCAAATTTTGACACTTTGACACAGTATAATGGTGACACTATGACACAGTATAATCGTGACACTTCGACACAGTCAAATGGTGACATATAGCACAGTCAAATGGTGACACTATGATACAGTATAATGGTGACACATCGACACAGTCAAATGGTGACACTATGACACAGTCAAATGGTGACATATAACACAGTCAAATGGTGACACAACGACACAGTCAAATGGTGGCACTATGACACAGTCAAATGGTGACTCTATGACACAGTATAATGGTGACACATCGACACAGTCAAATGGTGACATTATGACACAGTCAAATGGTGACACTATGATACAGTATCGTGGTTACACATCGACACAGTCAAATGGTGACATTATGACACAGTCAAATGGTGACACTATGACACAGTATAATGGTGACACTATGACACAGTCAAATTGTGACACTATGACACAGTCGAATGATGACATATAACACAGTCAAATGTTGACACACAACAAAGTCAAATGGTGACACTATGACACAGTCAAATGGGGACACAATGATACAGTATAATAGTGACACGCAGTCGAGTGGTGACACTACGACAAAGTTTAGAACCAGACTGTCTGTAGAACGTCCCTGAGCCCACCCAGCTCTGGTAAGTACCTAACTCATAATAGGGAAAGCAAAAGTGACTGGGCATAGTGCTGACCACGCTATCAGATGAAATCTACTTCACCTGCCCAATACTTCGACAATGGGAAAATTTTACTTTAATTTAAAATGAACCTTTTAATTAAAGAGGTCGTGTGTGAGGTTCAAGGTCACCACAACAAAGACAAAGGTCGCCCCTGGTGAACAAAAAGAAGAGTCACGTGATGGGGAGGTTGTGTGGTGTGTGTGGGGGGAGGTTGTGTGGTGTGTGTGTGGGGGGGGGGGTAAGTGGTGGGGAGGTTTTAGGTTTCAGTCTCACATTAAAAAATAAAGTGTTAGCGGTTTTTAGGTCTAGATCTAAATAATCTAGATCTAAATCAGCCAATTTAAACAGGAATTATACAAGTTATAATTATACAATTATATGATAGAAAAATAAATGGAATAACGTACCGTTGTAACATAACATATAGAACCTAGATCTAGTCTAGATCTATGTAACGTTGCTTGGAGAGAAGCGAATCTTGGGGTTTTCAAATCTATCAACAATGCACAAGCGCGTCAATTTAGAGTGTAAAACATAATGACGCCATCAAAATTAGAACAAACTAAAAATAGAAAAATTCAACAAATTTTGCGTATAGGCCTAACTTATTAGGTAAACAAAGGGCAAAAGGTCACGTGAAGTAAATATCCCATGCAAGTGGTATGAGCATAAGCCTGTTGTTTTAGAGTGGTTCTGCACGTATTGTACAGGAGTGTGTGAGTACACATGTACACTGTCTGGGGGTGAGGTCTAATCATAAGCTCCGTGGGGTTACGAACAGACCGGACAAAAGGCGGACATGAACAAACGGCCGACATGAACAAAAGGCCGAAAGGGACAAAAGGCCGGCATAGACAAAAGGCTGAATGGACAAAAGGCCGACATGGACAAAAGGCTGAATGGACAAAAAGCTGTATTATTTTTTACCAATGTGTAACTACATGTATTTCTTGCAGACTTTTATCTACGGAGGGGAGGGGGAGGTTGAAAATTTTGTAAGTGGGGGGGGGGGGCGAACTAAACTCTCCATAGGGATGCGTATAGTAATAAAAGTATATATTTTCTTTATAAATTCTATTTCGGGGGGGGGGGGGGATACAGTAATTATGTCGTAGTGATTACCTCAACTGTAAGGTGCTTTTGAACGTATACTAAAACATTTTCTCTATTAAAGGGGGCATAACTATTACAAATTCGCGAAATTTTTTAAAAATAAACAGGGTTAATCAGCTTTAATTACCATACATTGTTTGAGTTGTCTCCCGTTATAACAGAATCTCCGGCCTCGTTTTTAATCTATCACACCCTTCCCATCCCTCCACCCCCCCCCCCTCCAACAATCGCCAGCCATCCCGCAAAATGCTTGCGCTGGTTCACATTAACAAAAGCTACAAAGGCCTACACGATATTTAGTTTTAAATTCTCAGTTTTTTAGTTTTAATTTGACTACGTTGCATGTTCCCCAACGTCTAGACGGCAGGTAATGTTAGCTCAGGACGGTATGACATCACGAACACGCCCAATTCTAGTGTGTAAAAGCTCACTAACACACCATATGCTAGCGTGTATGACCTAACACATCCAATGCTAGCATGTATGACCTCGCTAACACACTTGTATCACCTGTTTGTCACCAACTTCACACAACCTGAAGATGATTCACAAACTGACCGTGTCTATAGATCCATCATTGGCTTGATTGATTGCCTATCAGGTGAAATCTCATCACAGATCAGCAGTTCGCCGAACTAAAGAATGTGAGAAAATATTTATCCTAAAGATCTAGTGAATTTTTAAATCTTAATTTTGAAAAGTTAATCTGACGTTTAAAATTATGGCGAGATAAAGTGTCTGGTGTTATAGTAATATAGACTATGGAAACAATGTAATGATATATCATGATAAGCAGTAGGCACATCTACATGTGCAGAAACCTCCATAATCTAAAAATCACGGTAACTATGGACAGTATATCCCTCGCGGAGTGTGTGAATGATTGTAGTCATGTCATGTTGTAGCAAAACACAGCAGCTCAAGTCTATTTCAAGTATAAAAAAATTGTGACAAAGTTTGCTGCGGTTGACCTGTGTAGAACTGACTGGAAAGTATGAGTTATACCGCGTTAATTAAGTTATAGCCGAGTTCTAGATTTATAACTTATTACTTTGTTAGTGGATGGCTAGTCCAAACTGGATGTGTATACGCTCCCCCAAAACACCACCACAGTCAAAATGTTAATGTTCCTATGACTTTAACACCACAGTCAAAATGTTAATGTTCCTATGACTTTAACACCACAGTCAAAATGTTAATGTTCCTATGACTTTAACATCACAGTCAAAATGTTAATGTTCCTATGACTTTAACATCACAGTCAAAATGTTAATGTTCCTATGACTTTAACATCACAGTCAAAATGTTAATGTTCCTATGACTTTACCACCACAGTCAAAATGTTAATGTTCCTATGACTTTAACACCACAGTCAAAATGTTAATGTTCCTATGACTTTACCACCACAGTCAAAATGTTAATGTTCCTATGACTTTAACACCACAGTCAAAATGTTAATGTTCCTATGACTTTACCACCACAGTCAAAATGTTAATTTTTATATGATTTTAATACACCAAACGAACACGACATAGACAAAACCCAGCCTGTATCCCCCCCCCCCACTCGCCTCCCACCTAGGAAGCAAGAAGATGAACCGTGACAGCGCATAAAATGAATTTAGCCTATAGCAAGATGTACTTGGGGGGGAAAATATTTTAATCGAACCATTAACATTGGGGATTTCAATCTGATGGTGGAGGGGGTGGGGAAGGGGAGGTCGTTAGGAAAAAAAACTGGGAGTTAACAGTCACGCATGACTGCGTTAATGTGTGACTTTAGTCAGAACCGTCAAGTCATTAGAGGACACAGGATGGCCAAACTAAGGTGAGTACTTTTTTTAAAAAGTTGCGTTTCTTAAGGACATGTCCATTTAGAAAAGAAACAACTCAAAATATTTCTTTCATTTTTCTGTATTTATCACGCAGACACAATTTACCCCCCACCCCACCTCTCTACTTAGCATGCTGGTAGATGTAATCAATGTATAACCAGTCACTATATTTACATTTCTGTATTCAGCGTGAACAGTGGTGTACAATAAAATATCACAAAAGAACTACGTTTAAGAAGTACATTCAATTTTGTTTGCTAGGCCTATTGAAAACATTAGAGATTATTTAGTTTAACATTAAAGTCAGCAGTTGTTTTTTTTAAATCCCCCTCATTGTGCTGTAGGCCTACATATGACAGTTTAGAGATTATTAGAAAATCTCATATTAAAAGCCTGTAAAGTTGATATTTTTTTTTCTACGTTTCCGGAATACTATTTTTTTCTAAATTTAAAGAAAAACTCACTTTTTTAAAATTTATTGTCTTTCATGTTAAAGCTTCGTTATTTGTGATGAGGGCATTGGGCTCAATATCAAAGCAACAAATCTTCTTACATTTTAAAATAAAATAATTGATTAGTTTAAAGTTTCTGCGAATCTTTAATTTTTACTCCCCTTCCCCCCCCCCCCCCTCCCTGTAAACTAAGGAGACATAATTTTAACCAAGAGCCATGTAACCTAATGCTATGCTTGAGTTGGGTTCATGGTTCAATAAAACATACAAAACATGGAGTTTGTTAGCTTTAACGAAAAAAATGTAAATAGTAGAGAAGTAGCTCAGCACAAAGATTTGGCCGAAAGTTTTCAGGAGAGAGGCTGATTGGCCTTTTTTTAAAAATAGATTAGACCTCACGTCAGACTTTTTAAAATTAGGATTGGACACATATTTTTGCTCTGGCTTCTGTGAAAAACCTTTCTGCTAAAGACCATTACCTGTGTGTTTAGTAATCATCATAAACCCGGCATTGCCCACCCAAACCACAACCAACCAAAACCAAAACAACAAAACGCAAACAACGCTAACACAATTACAAATACAAAAGAAAACAAAAAACCTAACAACAAACCCAACCACAACCACAAACACCAATACAAACACAAAGAAAAAACAAACAAAAAAGCAAACGAAAACAAAAACCTAACAACAAACACAACAACAAACACCAATACCAACCAATAACAACACACAAAAAAACGAAAAAGCAAACGAAAACAAACCAAATCCAAACGCAAAACCAACCAAAACGCAAATACAAACCCAAAGAAAAAAACACAAACAAACGAAAAAAGAAAGAACAAAAACTAACCAAATCAAACCGCAACCACTAACGCACACCCAACGGAATTGCCTGTTTTAGCTTAATAAACGACTATAGTACCCCAACTTATTCATAGTCTTTTGCACTCACTTAAACGAACGCGCCTGTTTCAATTTAATGAACAATTTTAATACTCCAAGCTTATCCGTAAAATACCTACAACATTTGCACTTGATCAATCCCCGCTAATGATGTAATTATTTTTTTTCCCAACACCAAAACAAAGTAATAAAAAGTAAATTATTTTACACTAATGAGACTAATGCAATGGTTTTATAAAGGGGAGTAATTTGTGTTTTCCTAATTTATCAAAGGGAAGTAAGTGCTATAAGACTAAATAAAACCAAAATTAGAATTTTTGTAAAAGATGATATTTTTTTAAAACTTGCGTTTAATGACCATGCCGACAATTAATACTATAATTTGAAAAATGAAAAATATTTCCCAACACTTTCAATATTAATTTTTTAACTCATAAATTTAGACAAATGCGCACAATAATTTTCTAACACTTAAAATCCATAGAAATGTCAACGACAAACATGTCACACGTTACAGAATTGAGCTTTATATATTAGACTAGCCGTCCCGGCCAGGCCCTGCTCTGGCTTCTGTGAAAAACCTTTCTGTTAAAGACCATTACCTGTGTGTTTAGTAATCATCATAAACCCGGCATTGCACACCCAAACCAAAACCAAAACAACATAACGCTAACACAATTGCAAATACAAACGAAAACAAAAACCTAAAAACTAACCCAACCACAACCACAAACACCAATACGAACACAAAGAAAAAAAAAAACGAAAAAGCAAACGAAAACAAACCAAATCCAAATGCAAAACCAACCACAAACCCAAAGAAAAAAACACAAACGAAAAAAACAAACGAAAACAAACCAAATACAAACGCAAAACCAACCACAAACACAAATACAAACACAAACGCAAAGAAGATAAAACACAAACAAAAACGAAAAAAGAAAGAACAAAAACGAACCAAATCAAAACGCAACCACTAACGCAAACCCAACCTAAACACAAAGAAAACACTAACGCGAACATAAACGCACAGTGAGTCTAGCCCGGGGCGGAATCGCCTGTTTCAGGCGACTATAGTACCCCAACTTATTCATAGTCTTTTGCACTCACTTTAATGAACGTAGGCGCGAAACCGAACACGGGAGGCCCGGGACCCCAAATAGCACCCTGTCTGGGCGCCAGAGGACGCACCATGACGTCACCGCCTGATTGAACTTAGTAAACGACTATAGTACATAACTTATTCATAGTCTTTTGAACTCACGCGAACGTATATACCATAGCGTACACCGGAAGGCCCGGGGCGCCAAATAGCACCCTGTCGGGGTGCCGGAGGACGCCCGGATTTGATTCACTTAAAGACTATAGTAACCTTTCTTATCCATAGTCTATCGCACTGTTAAAAACAAAATTATGCAGCATAGCGCTCACATGATAGCCCAGGGTGCCAAATCGAACCGTGCAAGGGCGCCGGCGGACGCGCCTGTTTCAATTTAGTGAACAAAAATGATAATACTCCAAGCTTATCCGTAAATGGAAAGAAATAAACATATAGGATTTGTAGGACCTGGCTTATTAAATGTTATTGATTTAAAAAAAAAATAATTATTGAACAGTATGTTCAGTGTATAGAATAAATAAAAGGCAGTGTTAAAAATACCTAACGACATTGCACTTAATCAATCCCCGCTAATTATGTAATTTTTTTTTATTTCTTAACACCAAAAACAAAGTAATAAAATGTAAATTCTTTCTTTTTAAGAATTTTTTTTTATTAAAGGGAAGTAACTGTGCAGTCAATACATTTCCGACACAATTTTAGAAATTTTATAAACGTCGATACACTTTTTAAACATTTTATGTCGCGTTCATAATTGAAAATTATTCTTCTAAGTAAATAGAGTGAACATTGTTTTAAAGACTTTCAATGGTAATTTTTTGACTCGTACATTTAGACTGTGAGCACGATAAAAAATCTAACACTTAAATCCATAGAACTGTCAACGACAAACTTTTTTTTTTTTGCCACACGTTACAGAACTGAGCTTTATATATTAGATTAGGATAGGAGAAACATAAAATATTTGTAAGTTAACAAAGATGTGTGTTGGGTACAGTGACCGTTACAGACACGAAGTTAACAAAGATGTGGGGTACAGTGACCGTTAAAGACACGAGTAAGTTAACAAAGATGTGGGGTACAGTGACCGTTAAAGACACGAGTAAGTTAACAAAGATGTGGGGTACAGTGACCGTTAAAGACACGAGTAAGTTAACAAAGATGTGGGGTACAGTGACCGTTAAAGACACGAGTAAGTTAACAAAGATGTGGGGTACAGTGACCGTTACAGACACGAGTTAACAAAGATGTGGGGGTACAGTGACCGTTAAAGACACGAGTAAGTTAACAAACATGTGGGGTACAGTGAGCGTTACAGGCGTCGCGAGGTTTGGGTCATCAAAAGTTTTCGTTTCGGCAGATGTGAGCTTTAGATCTACCTAATCCTCGTTCGTCATGTGACGTCATTGATTGATTGATTGATTGATTGTGACTTCCTCAATCGAGCCGGAGAAGTACAGTGTTAGTTTCAAAATATTATGGAGAGGGGCAGTGGGGGATGTGGGTTAGAGGGGGGGGAGTTTAATGGGCTGAGAGCAGTGTTTCTTTCAGCCATTTTTACCGTGTGTGGGGGGGGGGCTAAAAAGTTTGGGGGTGGAGGGGGAGATTTAATGGGCTGAGAGCAGTGTTTCTTTCAGCCATTTTTACCGTGTGTGTAGGGGGGGGGGGGCTAAAAAGTTTGGGGGTGGAGGGGGAGATTTAATGGGCTGAGAGCAGTGTTTCTTTCAGCCATTTTTACCGTGTGTGGGGGGTTTAATGGGCTGAGAGCAGTGTTTCTGTCAGCCATTTTTACCGTGTGTGTGGGGGGGGGGGTTTAATGGGCTGAGAGCAGTGTTTCTTTCAGCCATTTTTACCGTGTGTGTGGGGGGGGGGGTTAATGGGCTGAGAGCAGTGTTTCTTTCAGCCATTTTTACCGTGTGTTGGGGGGGGGGTTTAATGGGCTGAGAGCAGTGTTTCTTTCAGCCATTTTTACCGTGTGTGTGTGGGGGGGGGGGGGTTTAATGGGCTGAGAGCAGTGTTTCTTTCAGCCATTTTTACCGTGTGGGGGGGGGGGGGCTAAAAAGTTTGGGTGTGGTGGGGCGATAAAAATAATTTTTTAAAGATAATGTTTCGTGGGGGATGCCTGTTTCGTTCGGATGGGTGGGGGATGCCTGTTTCGTTCGGATGGGTGGGGGATGCCTGTTTCGTTCGGATGGGTGGGGGATGCCTGTTTCGTTCGGATGGGTGGGGGATGCCTGTTTCGTTCGGATGGGTGGGGGATGCCTGTTTCGTTCGGATGGGTGGGGGATGCCTGAAAGAGACTCTGAATGAGAGGTGGGATTTATGTTGGATCGTCAAGATTGTGGGATAATTTAAAGTAATTTTATTTGAAAACCTAGAATACCGTAGGAACCAGCAGTCTAACAGGATTATGGGGGTTTAACAACAGCTGGTGGTTTTGTTTGGAAAAAAAATGACATCTGCTGTCCGTTGCTCTAGTCTAAATAGTCGACCATTCACATACATACACACACACATACACACTCAAATCACATACACCATCATTCGTTATACAGACATGCTGGCACTGGCTTCAAACAAAGTGTGTTTTTCTTTCTCCAGTGGAGCTAAATCCCTTCCCATTTCACTGCCCCACCACCACACTCCCACCTCCGCATCCCTACCTCCCAACCCTCCCCCCCCCCCACCTCCCCACACTGCTCTGTTATAACGTTTATTGTTGAGAACATCAAATTAAATCAAAACTTTAAAAAAAATGGATGGCGTGGTCGGGTGGGAGGGGGGGGGGAGGGGTAGAGCACTCAGCTATTGAACTCGCAAGTCTCGAGTCGAATCTCGCGTTCAAGTCCATAGGACGTCCCTGAGTCCACCCAGCTCTAATGGGTACCTGACTGTCTGTAGGACGTCCTTGAGTCCACCCAGCTCTGATGGGTACCTGACTCGTTAGGAAAAGTAAAGGTGACTGGGCATAGTGCTGACCACACTATCAGATGAACTCTACTTCATCTGTCCAATGGGTCGACATTGGGCCAATTTTACTTTAATTTAAAATGAACTTTTTAATTAATTAGGTTATGTGTAAATTGTTTATTTATTTCAGTATCATGTACGTTATGTTAGCAGTGTTTCTTGCAGACTTTTTTCTCCAGGGGGGGGGGCATTTAAAATTTTCGGGGGGGGTCAACATTTTTCGGGGGGGGGGGGGCGGACACTAGTAAAAGTGTATGTTTACTATATAAAATCAATCCCGTTCGGGAGGGGGCGGTAGACTTTCTTCGGGGGTGGGAGTGGGGGTGGGGCTGAGCCCCCCCCCCCGAAGAGATGCCTGGAAGAAACTCTGTATGTTAGTTTAATTATTTCAGTGTCACGTACTTTATGTTAGTTTGCTTATTTCAGTGTCACGTACGTTTTGTTAGTTTGTTTATTTCAGTGTCACGCACTTTAGTTTGTTCATTTTAGTGTCACATACTTTAGTTTGTTTATTGTTTATTTCAGTGTCACGTACGTTATGTTAGTTTGTTTATTTCAGTGTCACGTACGTTATGTTAGTTAGTTTGTTTATTTCAGTGTCACGTACGTTATCTTAGTTTGTTTATTCCAGTGCAACGTACGATATGTTAGTTTATCTGTTTATTTCAGTGTCACGTACGTTATGTTAGTTTATCTGTTTATTTCAGTGTCACGTACGTTATGTTAGTTTGTTTATTTTAGTGTCACGTACGTTATGTTAAGTTGCTTCTTTCTGTGTCACGTATGTTATGTTTGTTTATTTAAGTGTCACGTACGTTATGTTAGTTTTTTTTATTTCAGTGTCACGTACGTTATGTTAGTTTGTCTGGGGCTGGTCGAGGTCACCCAGGCATACAGCAGTGGGGCGCCAGAAGGGGCGTGTGGCACCCTGATGCCCGGCCACGGCGTCCCCGCACAAACCTCACAGCCCCCCTTCAAGGTCACCACAACAAAGACAAATGTCGCCCCTGGTGAACAAATAGAAGGTGAGTCACGTGGTGGGGAGGTTGTGTAGGGGGAGGTTGTGTGGGGGGAGGTTGTGTGGTGGCGTGTGTGGGGGGAGGTTGTGTAGGGGGAGGTTGTGTGGGGGGGAGGTTGTGTGGTGGCGTGTGTGGGGGGAGGTTGTGTGGGGGGAGGTTGGGTGGTGGGGAGGGGAGGTTGTGTGGTGGGGAGGTTGGGTGGGGGGAGGTTGTGTGGTGGGGAGGTTGTGTGGTGGGGAGGTTGTGTGGTGGGGAGGTTGTGTGGGGGGAGGTTGTGTGGGGGGAGGTTGGGTGGTGGGGAGGGAAGGTTGTGTGGGGGAGGTTGGGTGGTGGGGAGGTTGTGTGGTGGAGAGGTTGGGTGGTGGGGAGGGGAGGTTGTGTGGGGAGGGGAGGTTGTGTGGGGGGAGGTTGGGTGGTGGGGAGGTTGTGTGGTGGGGAGGTTGGGTGGTGGGGAGGTGGGGAGGTTGTGTAGTGGGGAGGTTGGGTGGTGGGGAGGTTGTGTGGGGGGAGGTTGTGTGGTGGGGAGGTTGTGTGGGGGGAGGTTGTGTGGGGGGAGGTTGGGTGGTGGGGAGGGGAGGTTGTGTGGGGGAGGTTGGGTGGTGGGGAGGTTGTGTGGTGGAGAGGTTGGGTGGTGGGGAGGGGAGGTTGTGTGGGGAGGGGAGGTTGTGTGGGGGGAGGTTGGGTGGTGGGGAGGTTGTGTGGTGGGGAGGTTGTGTGGTGGGGAGGTTGTGTGGTGGGGAGGTTGTGTGGTGGGGAGGTTGTGTGGTGGGGAGGTTGTGTGGTGGGGAGGTGGGGAGGTTGTGTGGTGGGGAGGTGGGGACGTTGGGTGGTGGGTAGGTTGGATGGTGGGGAGGTTGGGTGGTGGGGAGGTTGTGTGGTGGGGAGGTTGGGTGGTGGGGAGGTGGGGAGGTTGTGTGGTGGGGAGGTTGTGTGGTGGGGCGGTTGGGTGGTGGGGAGGTTGGGAGGTTGTGTGGTGGGGAGGTTGGGTGGTGGGGAGGTTGGGTGGTGGGGAGGTGGGGAGGTTGTGTGGTGGGGAGGTTGGGTGGTGGGGAGGTGGGGAGGTTGGGTGGTGGGGTGGTGGGGAGGTTGGGTGGTGGGGAGGTTGGGTGGTGGGGAGGTGGGGAGGTTGTGTGGTGGGGAGGTGGGGAGGTTGTGTGGTGGGGAGGTGGGGAGGTTGTGTGGTGGGGAGGTGGGGAGGTTGTGTGGTGGGGAGGTTGGGTGGTGGGGAGGTTGGGTGGTGGGGAGGTTGTGTGGTGGGGAGGTGGGGAGGTTGGGTGGTGGGGAGGTTGTGTGGTGGGGAGGTTGTGTGGTGGGGAGGTTGTGTGGGGGGGAGGTTGTGTGGGGGGGAGGTTGTGTGGTGGGGAGGTGGGGAGGTTGGGTGGTGGGGAGGTTGTGTGGTGGGGAGGTTGTGTGGTGGGGAGGTTGGGTGGTGGGGAGGTGGGGAGGTGTGGTGGGGAGGTTGGGTGGTGGGGAGGTTGGGTGGTGGGGAGGTTGGGTGGTGGGGAGGTTGGGTGGTGGGGAGGTTGGGTGGTGGGGAGATGGGGAGGTTGTGTGGTGGGGAGGTTGGGTGGTGGGGAGGTTGGGTGGTGGGAAGGTTGGGTGGTGGGGAGGTTGGGTGGTGGGGAGGTTGGGTGGTGGGGAGGTTGGGTGGTGGGGAGGTTGTGTGGTGGGGAGGTGGGGAGGTTGTGTGGTGGGGAGGTTGGGTGGTGGGGAGGTGGGGAGGTTGTGTTGGGGAGGTGGGGAGGTTGTGTGGTGCGGAGGTTGGGTGGTGGGGAGGTTGGGTGGTGGGGAGGTTGGGTGGTGGGGAGGTTGGGTGGTGCGGAGGTTGGGTGGTGGGGAGGTTGGGTGGTGGGGAGGTGGGGAGGTTGTGTGGTGGGGAGGTGGGGAGGTTGTGTGGTGGGGAGGTTGTGTGGTGGGGAGGTTGTGTGGTGGGGAGGTTGTGTGGTGGGGAGGTTGGGTGGTGGGGAGGTTGGGTGGTGGGGAGGTTGGGTGGTGCGGAGGTTGGGTGGTGGGGAGGTTGGGTGGTGGGGAGGTTGGGTGGTGGGGAGGTTGGGTGGTGGGGAGGTTGGGTGGTGCGGAGGTTGGGTGGTGGGGAGGTTGGGTGGTGGGGAGGTTGGGTGGTGGGGAGGTGGGGAGGTTGTGTGGTGGGGAGGTGGGGAGGTTGTGTGGTGGGGAGGTTGTGTGGTGGGGAGGTTGTGTGGTGGGGAGGTGGGGAGGTTGTGTGGTGGGGAGGTTGTGTGGTGGGGAGGTTGGGTGGTGGGGAGGTTGGGTGGTGGGGAGGTTGTGTGGTGGGGAGGTTGTGTGGTGGGGAGGTGGGGAGGTTGTGTGGTGGGGAGGTTGGGTGGTGGGGAGGTTGTGTGTTGGGGAGGTTGTGTGGTGGGGAGGTTGTGTGGTGGGGAGGTTGTGTGGTGGGGAGGTTGTGTGGTGGGGAGGTTGTGTGGTGGGGAGGTTGTGTGGTGGGGAGGTTGTGTGGTGGGGAGGTGGGGAGGTTGGGTGGTGGGGAGGTTGTGTGGTGGGGAGGTTGTGTGGTGGGGAGGTTGTGTGGTGGGGAGGTTGTGTGGTGGGGAGGTTGTGTGGTGGGGAGGTGGGGAGGTTGGGTGGTGGGGAGGTTGTGTGGTGGGGAGGTTGGGTGGTGGGGAGGTTGGGTGGTGGGGAGGTTATGTGGTGGGGAGGTTGGGAGGTTGTGTGGTGGGGAGGTTGTGTGGTGGGGAGGTGGGGAGGTTGTGTGGTGGGGAGGTGGGGAGGTTGGGTGGTGGGGAGGTTGTGTGGTGGGGAGGTTGTGTGGTGGGGAGGTTCAATGAAGGTGGGTATTGGTCCACACCATTTTCAGCAAAGTGGCGCCTTTTTGGAAACTTTTTAAACTCAAAGTTTTAAACAATGATATTTGTTAAAAAATATTTTTGGTCGGCACATCTATGTAAATCACAAGATTTCTTTTCATGCAGCAATTAAGCATTAATGTGCTAGGCTAGTAGTGTCTACGTTTACAACACGTATTAACAGCTGCATCAGTTTGCCATTCTAAAAATAACCATTACGATCCATTGCAATGTTTAAAAAACCTCTACGGTAGTACCACTTGGCAAGAGGGGTGTTAAGTTTAAGGCAACTGTATAATGTTTTTGCTTACGAATAATTGAATTAGAAAATGTTATACATAAAACTTCACACATTATTACTTTATATTTAAAGTTTGAATCGTGTGATTAATTAAAAACAAATTACAATACAGAAACAAATACAACTGATGTGTCACCTCTATTTAAATTTACTTATGAGCAAACTGAGTAGTGCTGGGGAAATTTTGACGTCATCGCGATGAAGTTGTAGTATTCTTACAGTTCGGGCGATAGTGATTATTATTACAAATTATATGAAACAGTTACAATCCCCCTCACCCATAGACCCCTCTGTAAAAAAAATATTGTCATAATACCACTGCTACTTATTTAATTCTACTTCTGTAATATATATTTGTGTAATATATATTTGTGTAATATATATATATGTTTAAAACGGGAACAGGACATTTCCCCCCTGTCAATTACCCCCCGGATATTTTCCCCCCGACAATACCCCCCAGAGTAATTACCCCCCCTGCCAATTACCCCCCTGTCAATTACCCCCCGCCCAGTAGGACATTACCCCCCCCCCCCCCCCGGACAGGGTTAGAGTTAGGGTTAGGGTTAGGGCTAGGTTTAGGGCTAGGGTTAGGGTTAGGTTTAGGGTTAGGGCTAGGGTTAGGGTTAGGGTTAGGTTTTAGGGTTAGGGCTAGGGCTAGGGCTAGGGCTAGGGCTAGGGCTAGGGCTAGGGCTAGGGCTAGGGCTAGGGCTAGGGTTAGGGTTAGGTTTTAGGGTTAGGGCTAGGGTTAGGGTTAGGTTTTAGGGCTATGGCTAGGGTTAGGGCTAGGGCTAGGGTTAAGGTTAGGGTTAGGGTTAGGTTTTAGGGTTAGGGTTAGGTTTTAGGGTTAGGGCTAGGGTTAGGGCTAGGGTTAGGGTTAGGGTTAGGGTTAGGTTTTAGGGTTAGGGCTAGGGCTAGGGCTAGGGCTAGGGCTAGGGCTAGGGCTAGGGCTAGGGCTAGGGCTAGGGTTAGGGTTAGGTTTTAGGGTTAGGGCTAGGGTTAGGGTTAGGTTTTAGGGCTATGGCTAGGGTTAGGGCTAGGGCTAGGGTTAAGGTTAGGGTTAGGGTTAGGTTTTAGGGTTAGGGTTAGGTTTTAGGGTTAGGGCTAGGGTTAGGGCTAGGGTTAGGGTTAGGGTTAGGTTTTAGGGTTAGGCCTAGGGTTAGGGTTAGGGCTAGGGTTAGGGTTAGGTTTTAGGGCTAGGGCCAGGGTTAGGGTTAGGGCTAGGGCTAGGGCTAGGGCTAGGGCTAGGGCTAGGGCTAGGGCTAGGGTTAGGGTTAGGGTTAGGTTTAGGGCTAGGGCCAGGGTTAGGGCTAGGTTTAGGGTTAGGGTTGTGTCTAGCTTTGGTTTTGTGTGAAGTTTTAGGCTAAGGTGGATGCTTAGGTTTTGTCCTTTTTCTTAAGGTTTGGATTAAAGTAGTATATAGGTATAAAATTCTAGTTAGAGTTAGGATTTTAACTTGATAGGGGGGGGGGGGGTAATTGACAGGGGGGTAATTGACAGGGGGGTAATTGCTCCGGGGGGTAAATACGGGGGGGGGGAAATGTCCGGGGGGGAAATATCCAGGGGGGTAAAGTCCTGTAGCCGTTTAAAACAGTCATCTAAAAACTGACGCTATGTTCACTCTGAGTTGGTTATCTCTCCCCCCCCCCCCCCCCCCCCTCACCACCACAATTGTGTAGAGCGACATTAATGTCACACCTAGGTATACACCGGGTTGGATAATTGACCTAAAGTGAACCGACAGTGGTGAATAAATGTTGAACCCACCCACCCACCCCCCCCCCCCCCCTCTCAACCCACCCCGAACTGATCTATTAAGTACATGTAGAAAAACGGGTAATGATGTACCAAAGTACCATGCCGCCAGAAAATTAGCTTTTTAACGTAAAACTCTGTGAATATTGTTTTTGCAATTACCAGTAAAAAGTTTTGTGATCAATAAAGTTGAAACATGATCTTTAAAGAACACAAAGAAGCAGTAGTTAAATAAAATATATGCTCTGAACTAAAAGACCAATCTTTAGTTGAACGTAGGCTGATATTCCGAATGTTTTTCTATATGACGAAAAGCTTGCTTTTATACCAACTCTGATTTTAAAAATTTCTTATGCTGTAATACTTTAGCATTTATGATGACGATATATTAAATTTTGATTATAGACAAAAACGTTTTGTAAACCCGAATAGTGCTAAACAGTTTCATTATAATCTTAAGTAATTATTTATTTGTTTTGACATTTATAATTAAACATGTAGATATATGCATATTTATATTTAAAAAGTGATTATTTCCCCTATTTCACTTGTCTTAAATAATTTCCCAGGAACTATTCTGTAAGAAATATTTTTTACAAGAATTACAAAACAGATTATGTTACGTTCATTTTTTTTTTGGTTGTAGTGTGTGTATATATATTTTTTTTGTTTAGAAGATACAATTTTTGTTTTGTTAGCCTACTTTGTACGTTTTTTCTGTTTTTTCTTATTTCTTCAGAGTGCTACTTTCAATTTATTTTACATCATAGCGAAGTAATGACATACAGCCAGTAATTATATATATATATATTTATATATATATATATATATATATATATATATATATATATATATATATATATATATATATATATATATATATATATATATATATATATATATATATATAAAATACACGTATATTGAGCTTGTTAAAAATTTGGCGCCTTTTTTTTGCTCTTTTCGCTCCCCCTACAACGAAAACCTGGATACGCCTCTGCTTCCATATTTCACCTCGTCTCTCAAGTATTCGCTATATATCTAAGATTTCGCCATGTCTATCATATATTCACCATGCTTCTCACACATTCCCCACGTCCCTCATATTTTCGAAATTTCCTCACATGTTCGCTCCGCCTCTCACATAATCACCAGGCCCTCACATAATTTCCAAGCTCCTCACATATTCGCCACGCCCCTCACGTAATAGCCACGCCCCACACATATTCGCTACCTCCCCTCACCTATTCACCACACCCATCACCAATTTCGCAACGCCCCTCTCACATATTTACCGCGTCCCTCACATAGCCACCACGCCCCTCACCTATTCACCACGCCTCTCACCTATTCGCCATCTCCCACATGGCCACGCCCTTTAACTATTCGCCACGCCCCTCACACATTCACTACGCCCCTCACCTACTCGCCATCTCCCACAGTGCCACTGTGGTCCCAGAGAAGTCTGTGTTCTGGACACAGATCCCATCGGCCGAGATCTCCATCGGAGCGGCAGGACAGACCACGCCCATAATGCCGGGGATGCTAACCACGCCCCGTCTTGGAGGCATGACGACCACGCCCTTCATGGCAACGACGCCACGCAAAAACACAGGAGTCAACACGCAGGTGGGGCTGACTCTGCTGATCAGCGCTCTGTTTAGTTTGCTACTGGTAGTTGGCAGCCTCTAGCAGATTTCTGGAAGTCAATCTTTGTTTTAGTTTTATTTTATTTTTATATCACGCTCACCGTAACTAGAGAGACCTTACTGTAGTGACCTTACTCTTACTTTAGGGACCTTACTTTAGGAAATTTACTTTGGGGACCTTATTAGGGGATTTTTACTAGATTGACCTTACTTTACAGCACTTGCTTAAAGGAATAGTTTATGAACCTTTGAATTAGGGACCTTAATATATGGACCGTACCTTAGTGGCCCTACTTTAGAGATCTTACTTTACATACCTTACTTTACAGACCTTACTTTAGAAATGCTACATTAGGGACCTAACTTTAGTAATCTTGCTTAGGGCTTAACTTTCAGCACTTTACTTTCGAGACTACATAATTTACATACCATAGAGACCTTAGTGACCTAACTTTAGGGACCTTACAGAAATTACTTTATAGAAATTACTTTCGAGATATTACTTTATAGTAATATTAATTTACAGACTTAACTTTAGAGACCTAACTTTAGGGACCTTACTTTAGTGACTTTAGCGACCTTACTATATGATTGTATTTACCCCCCCCCCCCTTTCCACCCACCCACACACACACCACCAAAACTATGGTAGCTCAACTGTGACGTCTTTAGTCTACTAACTTTTGTAGCCAGATAAATTCAATCCACCTATGTCAATTATTAATTTAGTATTTTTTTAAACGACGTATGTAATCTTGGAATGGAAATTTGACCAAGTTGGAATTATTTGAGATCTTAAATTAATTTTTTATAACAAGCTTGTGCGATATTTTTGTTTTGTTTATTGAAATTTAAATGGAAAATAAAATTTCCAACTCCAGTCAAAACTCCATTCTGCGTGTAATTCGTTTCACCATTTGTTCATACTTTTGTTTCCATTTATACTTAAAATTGCTTATATATTTTATCCATATCTTCAATAAACAAACAAAAAAATTGCACAAGCTCTTTTTATTTATTTATTATTATTTGTTGTGAATGATTGTTTTTTTTTTCTTTGTGTTGATATGCCACAAGCAGTCGAAGTCTCAACTGTTAAAAAGCTAATAAGTTGATTAGGATTACGACTACTGATAGCTAAGCCACGGCATTTGTAGGAAAATGGATCAAACTTTTGAGAGTGTCACCAGACATTACAAAGAAAGAATTTGACTACGTCATTAGATGGTAGAATACTGCATCACCAACACGAATTTTTTAACACAATATTAATTGACAGTGAGCAGGATTATAGTCATGATATATGCCCCTCCCCCAGTGGCGTAGCGAGGTCGGGTGTCACCCGGTGCGGCACTTAATGGTGTCACCGCCCAGAGGCGTAACGACCCTTCCCGGGGACAAACTTTCAAGTTGTCGATTTGCACCCCCCCCTCAAACTTTCGATTTGCACCCCCCCTCAATGTTTTTCCTCTATATATTTTGCTATTTTTTGCCTTAGTGTCACCCCCCTAAATGGTGTCACCCGGTGCGGTCCGCACCCCCCCCCCTCGCTACGCCCCTGCCCTCCTCCTCCTCCATAAATACCTTTAGTACCTGCTACCAGCCAAGTGAGAACAGGGGCAATTAACAGAATTCTGAAATGGAGCGGTTGAGTATGGAATAAGTGTTAACTCGTATCCTTGCCTAGGCCTCCCAAAGAAAGCCACAGAAGAGAACTAATAGTAGAATAAGCCTTTTCCCTCCAGAAAACGGCCTTACCCTAACCTTAACCCTTGCCTTGTCCCAGTTGTAGCCCTAACCGCAACATTACCTTTCGTTTAGGAATAAGTTTAATGCTAGGGTAATGTTTGCAGATTTTAAAAATATGTTTTTACAATTTAATAAACCGGTAGTGATCTCCCCTAAACTTTCTCGAATATTCTTATATAAAACAACAGGGGATGGTAACTGGGGATATAGTTATGATTTTTAATCCATTTTAAATACTGAAACTTTTAAAAATAGAATAGAATCTAAGTAAAAAACAATTGCGCACCATGCGAACGCATAATAAAGGTGTGTATAATAGTGCGCAATAGTATTAGTACTTAATAAATTTACATTAGTTTTTTGAGAAATCGGAAGTAGCGTAAATTACTACTTCTGGTCAACGGAAATTACTCAAAATTTAACAGAAGGTAGAGAATTAGATCTTTTACTTACATGTGAAATTTCATTTATCTATCTGAAATAGTACTCAAGTTATAGGCTTTTGAAAAATTCAAAGTAGAAAAAGTACCACTTCCGGTTGTCGGAAATCGCTCAAAAGTTGATACGGATCTACGATTTTGATATAATACTTATATATGAAATTTCATCAACCTAGTTGTAACGGTACTCAAGTTATCGTGTTTACACACGGACACACAGACAGACACACAGACAGACACACACACAGACATACGGACAAGATTGCAAAATTATGTTTTTCCGTATCAGTGAGGTGTAAAACGTCGAGATTTGTAAAAATCTCGATTTTTTTTTTTTTTGCACGATTACAATACTTTCTCTATACTACGTATATACGAGAAAGTAAAAACATGCACTTATCATAGACTCCATACTGTTCAATGTGCATTTCTACTTTCGTTTTAACACGTTATATGTCCTCTTTCCGGTATCGATATTACACATTTTGCCTAAAACAATGCCTACATAATGCCTGCTGGTGGGTAAATGGACGTGGGGGTGGGGGTAATAGAGCGGCGATGCGGTGAGGGGGGGGGGGAGGATTAGTCCTGCTCCCAGGAACGTGTATTGACATGAATACAGCGAGTGTGACCGTATTTGACCTGGCATCCGTGTGTTAAATAGGTGTAAAAGGTAGGTAACACCAGGTGGAGATGGAACACATCAATGTAACACACCATCACCAACAGCTACTAGATCTGCATCTTATAATCGTCTGTGTAGCAGATAAAGTAACACAACATCACCAACAGCTACTAGATCCGTAGCAGACCGTTCTCGTATGACTATAATGTCTATGTCGTAGCCGGTTTGTATAGCTCTAGTGTGAAACTTAGCATTTGTTCTATCGATAAGAGTGAAATATCTCCCCATTAACTGACCCCCCTCCCTGCCATTTGACTTAACTCCCCAGAACCCCGGGGTGGTGACCGTTGACCCCCAGTGCGGCAAGACCAAGGGCTGCTACCACGACTGCTCCGGTGGGGGACCCTGCACCTACGTCATTTCCTGGTTGTACCAGCCGGACACTGTCCACTTCCGGTTCCTCTTCAAGACGCCGTCCACATCTGACCAATGGATATCTCTGGGCCTGTCACATGACCAGTACATGGTAGGCACGACACATTTATCTGGCCAAATGTCTGAGTTTATTAGCGCTATATCTAATCGATAATTGAAAATCTTACAATGGTAAGGTACCACACACTGATACAATGGTAAGGTACTCCACATTGATATAATGGTTGGTAAGGTACCCCGCACTGATACAATTGCATGGAAGGTTTGCTTGACTTGTGCAACTATAACTGAAGCAATACAACCTTGCTCTATAGCTTTTAACCTTGCTTTATAGCCTCTAGCCTTACCATATAGCCTCTCACCTTGCTCTATAACCTCTAACCTTGTCCTATAGTCTCTGACCTACAACCTGTAACCCCTAACCTTCACCTGTAACCTCTAACCCACCTGTTCACCTGCCCATCACCAGGGAGACGACAGTGTGATGGAGTGTGTGATGGATGCCGGCACTGTCCAGGTCAAGACCTCATACAACACTGGCCAGTACAACGCCTACCCTGATGACGTAGGTGGTGGGCGTGGCTAACTTGGCATTCTTTTCACACCTCAATCATAATGAGCTAATTAAATCACTCTCATCTCACTCAATCATAATTAGCTCATTAAGTCACTACAATCTCACTCAATCATAATGAGTTAATTAAGTCACTGTAGGTCTATGTAAACTGTTCAATGGTTTAACCTTTGACCTTCCAGAAACATGCAGGCATACACAACGCTGAGGGGTCAGTACGAGACGGGGTCATTGAGTGCAGCTTTGACCGAAAGACGCAGTACCCGAGGGAGCCCAAGGTCTACGACCTGAGTAAATCTTATTACCTGATGGTCGCGTACGGTGAGGCTGTCTCAGGTGAGTCTAGGTGAGTCTAGGTGAGACTGTCTCAGGTGAGTCTAGGTGAGGCTGTCTCAGGTGAGCTTAGGTGAGGCTGTCTCAGGTGAGTCTAGGTGAGGCTGTCTCAGGTGAGTCTAGGTTAGGCTGTCTCAGGTGAGTCTAGGTGATGCTGTCTCAGGTGAGTCTAGGTGATGCTGTCTCAGGTGAGTCTAGGTGATGCTGTCTCAGGTGAGTCTAGGTGATGCTGTCTCAGGTGAGTCTAGGTTAGGCTGTCTCAGGTGAGTCTAGGTTAAGCTGTCTCAGGTGAGTCTAGGTGAGGCTGTCTCAGGTGAGTCTAGGTGAGGCTGTCTCAGGTGAGTCTAGGTGAGGCTGTCTCAGGTGAGTCTATATGAGGCTATCTCAGGTGAGTCTATGCTGTCTCAGGTGAGTCTAGGTGATGCTGTCTCAGGTGAGTCTAGGTGATGCTGTCTCAGGTGAGTCTAGGTGATGCTGTCTCAGGTGTGTCTAGGTAATGCTGTCTCAGGTGAGACTGGGTGAAGCTGTCTCAGGTGAGTCTAGGTGAGGCTGTCTCAGGTGAGTCTAGGTGAGCCTGTCTGAGGTGAGTCTAAGTGAGTCTAGGTGAGGCTGTCTCAGGTGAGTCTGGGTGAGGGTGTCTCAGTTGAGTCTAGATGAGTCTAGGTGACTCTAGGTGAGTCTAGGTGAGGCTGTCTTTTTTCTTCTTCTTCTTCGTTCTTAATTATTAGTGTTGAAGGGGGTCGAGATTTATCTGCCTTTGGTGGTCTGAACTCGAGACTTTGTTCAAATTTATCAACCATGAGCTTTTTGCCGACTCGACCACGCCTCCAACACAATTAAGCGTTACGTGTCAACTGGTTATGCGCCATTGAGGCCATTGACTCCGATTTCAGCCTGCTTTTCTGTCTGAGTCTAAGTGAGTCTAGGTGACTGTCTCAGGTGAGTCTAGGTGAGGCTTTTGGCTATGCCTAGCTAAAGCTGTGTCTCTTACAAGATACCCAAAACTTTTGTTTCAGGTAACAAATTCCCCCACTCCTACGAAAAGTTGCCCAAAGTGTCCTCAGAGAAAATCAGTTTCCAGTCAATCGGGAGTGTAAAGGGCGGGGCCGGTCCGGTCTATCCCATGGTCAAAGCTCACGGTAAGGGTTGTTAACATTTTGGTCAAATCTCATGGTAAGGGTTGTTAACATTTTGGTCAAATCTCATGGTAAAGGTTGTTAACATTTTGGTCAAAGCTCACGGTAAGATTTGTTAACATTTTGGTCAAATTTCATGGTAAGGGTTGTTAACATTTTAGTCAATCTCATGGTAAGATTTGTAAACATTTTGGTCAAATCTCATGGTAAAGGCTTTAACATTTTCCTTCACGGTTTTGGGCAAACCATATGGTCACACTGCGCGGCTGTGGGATTTAAATTTAGGGTCACGATTTTAAATTTAGACTAACCTCTTTAATGGAAATTTTAAAAAACACATTTCCACCAGAAAAGTATTTATCAGCAGGAATAAATCAGTTTACTATCTCTGTGTGTAAAATCTAAGTTTATTTTAATGACTCCGTTTCTGTTCCGTTTCTTTTTCCCGCCCTGTTCTGATCCTATTTTTCTTTCTCTCTTAGTTCTGCTCGTCGTGGTGGTCGCTCTCTCCTTCTACTTGTCTTCAAGTTATTGCTGGATGCTGGCTCGGCAGGGGAACTAACTCTGTGACTTCACTGAGGGGCGAATACTCTTTTTACAAACCGCGCCATTTAAATTAGATGGCAACAAAACAGATTTTAGGAGCTATCTCGTTATAAGTGTATAAGTCAAATGACAATTCAAATGTAAAAAAAAAAAACGAAATTATTTACAGTTAATTAAAAACGTTTTTTTAAACAATTAAATTTTCTAGTGTCTAATTTGTATAATTAAACCTGAACTGTTGTTTTTAAATAAAATAATAGAAAATATTTATAAAGTATATCATTAAATCAAGCATATTTCGTGTGATTAGTTATTTAAGCTGTGTTCCCAGCTTTAAATTTTTTTAAAAATTAAAAAATTAAAATTCCTCTCAAGTATGTCTTACGTACATTCCTTTTAATCACTAAATTGTTTCCATCACTAACACTTTCTAAAAGCTTTCTAGACAGTTGCGTAGCCAGGATCGTCTCAAGGGGGGGGGGGGTCCAATTTTTACCCGGGGACAAACTTTCGATTTGCACCCCCCCCCCTCAAACTTTCGATTTGCACCCCCCTCAAACTTTCGATTTGCACCCCCTCCTCAAACGTTCAATTTGCACCCCCCTCAAACTTTCGATTTGCACCCCCCCCCCCTCAAACTTTCGATTTGCACCCCCCCCCCCTCAAACTTTCGATTTGCACCCCCCCCCCTCACACTTTTTATATATATACCGAGGGGTCTATTGGGGGGGTTATGACCCCCCCTAACCCCCCCCCCCCCCCCTGCCTACGCCACTGTTTCTAGATAATTTGATATAAAGGCCTATGGTGGTATTTTTTAAAAAGATTAATATATAAACATTTGTGTAGTTTTTTCTTAAATAATTCTTATTAGTCTCGTTATAATTATTGTCATGTTTTACTAGTTGCGTTATGATTATTGTCAAGTTTTTTTAGTCTCATGAAGCTGTCTCAATCTATTTTTGCAATAGTATTTTCTTTCTTCAAAAAACCAAAGAATTTACTGCGATGTATTTTAGTGCATGAAAGATTTGCACAAAATATATTTCTCTCTATTTAATATACATACATTTTTTTAATTATTTTAATTATGTGTTTAAAACAGGGGTCTCCAAACTTTTCAGTCCGAGGGCCGCATTAACTATCAAATTTCATTTCGGGGACCAGTTTATCCCGGGCATGTTTTTGATTTTTCTGGGCAAAGTTCCTCAGCCATCACCAACAAAGATTTTTTCATGGACAAAAAGATCTCCGCGGGCCGGATGAGAGGACCTCGCGGGCCGCATTCGTAGTTTGGAGACCCCTGGTTTAAAAGATTGTTTGAAAATAATCAATTAAGATTAAAAAATTATTAGCAAAATTTGCATCTGTTTTGATTATTTATTGCTAATTAATCTAATAATAGTTAATATATTGTTATATTTTTGGAAATAGGTATAATTAAATTTTAATTTAATATATTGTGAAATGGAAATTAGAAATTATATTTACAAATGTAGACACAAGTCTTAGTATTAAAATGATTGGTGTGAGAACAGAATATAACACAATTTTAAACTACACACAAATTTCCACATAGATTTGTTAAAGTTCATACTCTCATTTAATATTATTTCTTCTTCTAATATTATTACTTTTTTCTCCTCGTATTATTATTTTCTACTTCTCATATTATTACTTTCTTCTTCTCATATCATTACTTTCTACTTCTATTGTATCTTTTTGTAGGAACTAACCCGATACAATTATTGGTGGAAACAGTCACAATATCTGACTACCAGTTGATGATTCAAATCTTTCCATTCTTGACTCGGTGGAAATAAAATAAATAACTAGCAATTAAGTTAGCTGAGCAGGTTTAGTAAAAGGACAATAACGATTTAACCCCTCTCTTTGTATAATGTATCGATAATTGTGAACATAAAAAAGAGTGAAGGAAATGTAATATTTGTCTGACGATTAGGTAATGATGTAAACATTAAGTCTAACGAATGTCTCCACAAAATCAAACGGTAATTTTTTAAAACCTTGTCTAACAAAACTAAAATTTAAAAATAAGCAGAATACTTATAACCATATTTGACTTTTGCAGGAACGTCCATGACCTTCGCCTGGATGTTGTTTGCAAGCTCCGGTCTGTTCATCGCTCGCCATGGCCGCTCCATGTTCAACAACTCCAAGCCATACGGGCTGCTAGTGTGGTTTCACGTCAGTGAACTTTTGTGTGGTTTCACGTCAGTTGTCTTGTGTCGTGTCACGTCAGTTGTCTTATCTTGTATGGTTTCACGTCAGTGTGTGACTCCATGCCATCACACCGGATGTAAACAATATGCCAACTGTTGTCAATAGAATTGTAGGCCAAACTTACTAAAAATACAATTAATTTTTTTATCCCAGAATAACCCCCCCCCCCCAACTCACCCCCCCCCCCCTCCTACAGCTGGTTCCCTCAGCAATTACTAACGAACACATTCCCACCTGCAGTACACCACATTTTAACTAGCCATCTCGTTACCTGGGCAGGTCCACCGCTTCTGTATGACCATGACCGCCCTCTTGACCATGCTGGGATTTGTTTTGGTCTTGGTAGAGTCCAAAGGCTACAGCAAAGTAAGTTTTGACCTGTAGGCTTAGAGAAGGGGGTGGCAGATTAACGTACGTCTTAGTATTTAGGAGGAGAACAAACATATAATATTATACCTGCTAAAGCCAAGTTTTCTGTAATGCTTGCAGTTTATTAACTTCAGTTAAATGTCGAGCTCAGATTTTAACCGACTGACATCAGAATTTAACCAATTGACCAATTGACCTTAGACTTTGACGACTGACCCCAAATTTTAACCGACTGACACCAAATTCTAATAACTGACCTCATGTTTTAACCCACTGACCTCATGTTTTAATCGACTGACGACAGATTCCAGATACCCCGTCAGAGAAGAGCTGGTACCGCATGCTACATCCGCCCATAGGTCTTGTGTTGATTATCATGACCTTTGTTAATGTAAGTCAACATTGTCATTGTCATTTTTTAACGTTATCTTGTCAAAATTTCACAATGTAACATTAACACGTCCAAATGTCATATTTTAACTTTAACTTGTTTAAAATGCCATATATAAACATTAACGTGTCCAAATGTCATATTTTAACATTGACACGTTCAAATGTCATATATGAACTTTAGCGTGTCCGAATGTCATATTTTAACTTAACTTGTTTAAAATGTCATATTTAGCGTGTCCAAATGTCATATTTTAACTTTAACTTGTCCAAATGTCATATTTAGCGTGTCCAAATGTCATATTTAGCGTGTCCAAATGTCATATTTTAACTTTAACTTGTCCAAATGTCATATTAAGCGTGTCCAAATGTCATATTTTAACACACCTGACCTTATCCTCATGTAGCCCCTGATGGCCCTGTTCAGACCTGACATCAAGGCGCCGTCCCGCAAACATTTTAACCACATCCACTGGGGCATTGGCCAACTAGCCTGGATCCTATCTAGTGAGTGACCAACTGACCTCTCGGTAGTCTAAACCGTCCCATTCTGTCTTATAAACTTATGCTAAGATGTATTTTCTGCGTATCGATCAGACAATGCCGACCAACATGCTGAGCTTATTCTGACCTGTCGTACTGGTTTACTCTCTGTTTCAGTCGCTCTCATTCTGACCTGTCGTACTCGTTTACTCTCTGTTTCAGTCGCTCTCATTCTGACCTGTCGTACTCGTTTACTCTCTGTTTCAGTCGCCCTCATTCTGATCGGCCTTGACCTGAACAAATCCCAGTCCGACATCGAGGCTATCTATGTCGTCTTCGCCTTCATCGCCTACCACGTCTTGATGGAGATCCTCATTCGTCTGGTGCCCTTCATCTTCGGCTTGTCATGTGGCTGCTGTAGATGTAGATGTTGTAGTAAGTTATTGGTGTGGTACCATAGATCATAGATGTTGTAGTAAGTGGTTGGTGTGGTGCCATAACAGGTCATAGATGTTGTAGTAAGTTGATGGTGTGGTGCCATAACAGGTCATAGATGTTGTAGTAAGTTGATGGTGTGGTGCCATAACAGGTCATAGATGTTGTAGTAAGTTGATGGTGTGGTGCCATAACAGGTCATAGATGTTGTTGTTGCAGTTAGTTGTTGTTGTTGTACCATAACAGGTCATTGATGTTGTAATAAGTTGTTGGTGTGGTATTATAACAGGTCATAGGATATAGATGTAGATGTTGTAGTATGTTGTTGTTTTACCTAGGTGATAGATAACGAGTTATATACATTATATGTAAGTACTGAAAATTACATGTAGTACTGTAAATTAAGTGTAAGTACTGTAAATTAAGTGTAAGTACTGTAAATTAAGTGTAAGTACGGTAAATTAAGTGTAAGTACGGTAAATTAAGTGTAAGTACTGTAAATTAAGTGTAAGTACTGTAAATTAAGTGTAAGTACGGTAAATTAAGTGTAAGTACGGTAAATTAAGTGTAAGTACTGTAAATTAAGTGTAAGTACTGTAAATTTATAAGTGTAAGTACGGTAAATTAAGTGTAAGTACGGTAAATTAAGTGTAAGTACTGTAAATTAAGTGTAAGTACTGTAAATTAAGTGTATTGTAAACTACATGTAGTACTATACCTTTCTCTGCACCACACGTGAGTGTAGAAAACAAGCGCAGCTACGACTTCAACATGACGGACATGTCCAGTAGCGAGGTGCCCAGCATGGCCGGACAGGGAGGTTCCTCATACGACAAGGAGGTGGAGGAGGAGGACAAGATCACTGCCCATCGCAGGGTCAGTGCTAGAGTTGTCTTAGACAAGACGTGTACTATAACTGTGATATTTCATGCCTTAGAGAATATGTGTACTCCTAACTGTGACATTTAATACTTGCCATAGACAAGACGTGTACCATAGTTATGATATGTAGTCTGAACAAGCGAAGTTTACATTTCCCCTTTAATTGTGTATGTTTGCTCTACAGTTCACTTAAAATCTTGGCATTATGTTAAAGCCCTTACAAAGTAAAGCGGCCTACCCTTGCTTTTTGCTGTTGCCATTATATTTTATGAAAAATATTTAAAGTTTTGATAAACAAAATTAGAAAACATGTTCCAACCAAATCTTGTATGTGGTTGTATGTCATGGTGGATGAACACGCTGACGTGGTGTTATGACTTGCAGAAGAACATCGTGCTGACGTTGATGCTGGTGTTCCACATGATCGCCTCCGCCTGTTTCGCCATCGCCGTCCTCTTTTTCTTCCTGCGTCGTCCTGTGGACGAGGCGGAACTACACGCCAGCCCCACCGAACGTTACGAGCATGACGACAGTGTCCACGTCGTCGGCGCCAACTAGATGACGTCACACGCTAGATGACCTCTGAAGACCTCGTGAAGAATGTGTCAGGAATTTTAGCCCTTGTTCAAAACTAAGCCAGTTGTTTTTTTTAAATATAATTTTGGCTTTCTGTCTCACTGTATTATGATTCGTGCAAATATCATGTAACTCAGAATACGTTTATGGGATTGTTAAATTATGTTAAATGGTCAATATCTGTATCAAATCACAAGATTGTTGATATTAAAATAAACTTCCCTTTTTTTCTAATTGCCCACTGTTAGCTTCTTGTTAAATGGTTTATTTCCAAAAGGGCTATGGCATCTGTAGGTATTACTATAAATAGAATAGTTCTTAGGCACTAGCTATAGAAACAGTGTTTATCAAAAAAAAAATTGAAGGTTATTGTTCTTTGTCTAAGAGGGGGGAAGGGTCTGGATTTATTATATAATATGGAGGGTGTCCTGTAAAATTGTTGTATAACATTATATATCCCGTGGTGTATTACATGTTTTTGTTATATAATATGTGCACGGTCCATTTGCTTTAGATTGGAAAAAAAATTCATTTACACTTTATTTTTTAGTTCCAAAAGCTTCATTCAGTAGTCAAGCAAAAGTAAGCACTGCCATTTCAAACTGTAAACATAGGTTAGACATGTTCACTCTTCTTTTAATTACCTTCCCGTGTCCTCTACATGTAAACGGTGCATTTTATTTAGTGCTATTTCAAGATTATTTCTATTCAGATTATTTTAAAAATTTATTTACATTTTAGGATTATTTCAAATATTCTACATATTTTAAAATTGTAAAAATTCATGCTTTGTTTTTATTTAAAAAAATCATTATATATTTTTTCCCAAAGAATAATTGGCAATATTCGACTTTTTACACGAATTTATCTGTATATTGTATACCTGACTGGGTGACAATCAATTGTACGAGTACGACAATCAATTGTAAAAGTATTAAGCAAGACAATCACCAAAAACTTCAATAAAATCAATCTCAAGCTTTTGTTTGTTCGCTAATCTGCTTTGTTTTCATGGGAGAAATCCCGTCTTACCTTTTTCTCTCCGTCTCTGTTTCCGGCTACCGGATCTGTTTCCGAGTATCCGGCTTTGTTACCGGGTATGGTATTTGCGGCTGGAGAAATGTTTACAGCGTTCTCATAAGACCTTGTCAGGGGGTATAACTCAACTCTCTAGTCAAATAAAATGGGACCTTGTCAGGGGCTATAACTCAACTCTCTAGTCAAATAAAATGGAACCTTGTAAGGGGGTATAACTCAACTCTCTAGTTGAATAAAATGGGACCTTGTCAGGGGCTATAACTCAACTCTCTAGTAGAATAAAATTGGACTTTGTCGGGGGGTATAACTCAACTCCCTAGTCAAATAAAATGGAACCTTGACAGGGGGGTATAACTTAACTCTAGTCGAATATGCTACTTATGTATCAATAAAATACAAAGAAGAAAAAAGTCATAGGGAATCAATTCTTTATTCACTACATGACCATACAAGCTACATCAGTAAGGAACCATTCCTTTGGTCAGTGATTGCAATCAAGCGTAGAAAGTAGATAAAAGCTGCGGTCAGATATTTCTCGCATTGGACTGACTCGAGATCATGGTAGTGGTGATGATGATGATTGTGGTGGTGGTGGTGGTGGTTGTGACGTTGATGATGATAATGGTGATGAAGACTATGATTATGATGATGGTGGTGGCGATGGTAGTAGTGGTGACGATGATGATTGTGGTAATGATGTTGATGACGACTATGATTATAATGATGGCGGTGGTTGTTGTGGTGACGTTGATGATGATGGTGATGGTAGTGATGGTGGTAATGATGATGAAAACAAAACGTTATTTGAGATGAAATAGTGGTATTACATGTTAAAATTAAAAGCATGCGAACGCTACAATCATGATAAACAGCACTAATGCTATTTCAGAAATAATAAATTAATGGCGAACAATAAATAAATAAATAAATAATCTAGTATATTTTTAAACATTTTGTGATTTCCAGCATTAGTCGGGGAGTGGTCCTCAAAGTGGTCCTACATTAGTCGGGGAGTGTCCTCAAAGTGGTCCTACATTAGTCGGGGAGTGGTCCTCAAAGTGGTCCTACATTAGTCGGGGAGTGTCCTCAAAGTGTCCCTACATTAGTCGGGGGAATGGTCCTCAAAGTGTCCCTACATTAGTCGGGGGAATGGTCCTCAAAGTGTCCCTACATTAGTCGGGGGAATGGTCCTCAAAGTGTCCCTACATTAGTCGGGGGAATGGTCCTCAAAGTGTCCCTACATTAGTCGGGGGAATGGTCCTCAAAGTGTCCCTACATTAGTCGGGGGAATGGTCCTCAAAGTGTCCCTACATTAGTCGGGGGAATGGTCCTCAAAGTGTCCCTACATTAGTCGGGGGAATGGTCCTCAAAGTGTCCCTACATTAGTCGGGGGAATGGTCCTCAAAGTGTCCCTACATTAGTCGGGGGAATGGTCCTCAAAGTGTCCCTACATTAGTCGGGGGAATGGTCCTCAAAGTGTCCCTACATTAGTCGGGGGAATGGTCCTCAAAGTGTCCCTACATTAGTCGGGGGAATGGTCCTCAAAGTGTCCCTACATTAGTCGGGGGAATGGTCCTCAAAGTGTCCCTACATTAGTCGGGGGAATGGTCCTCAAAGTGTCCCTACATTAGTCGGGGGAATGGTCCTCAAAGTGTCCCTACATTAGTCGGGGGAATGGTCCTCAAAGTGTCCCTACATTAGTCGGGGGAATGGTCCTCAAAGTGTCCCTACATTAGTCGGGGGAATGGTCCTCAAAGTGTCCCTACATTAGCTCCTCCAGCTGAACCATTCCGGGGAGTGGTTCTCAAAGTGGTCCTACATTAGTCGGGGAGTGGTCCTGAAAGTGGTCCTACATTAGTCGGGGAGTGGTCCTGAAAGTGGTCCTACATTAGTCGGGGAGTGGTCCTCAAAGTGGTCCTACATTAGTCGGGCAGTGGTCCTCAAGTGGTCCTACATTAGCTGCTCCAGCTGAACCAGTCGGGGGAGTGGTCCTCAAAATTTTCTGGCTCGTTGACCCCTGACACCAACACGGTTGCAGGGAACGACCTTGGGCGGTCCGGGTCTTCGATGGGCTTGGCGGCGGTGGAGACGTATCTGATGACGTAGCCGCACCGGCGGCGGGGCGACCTGTTGGTGCCGCTGCCGTGCACCAGGTGCCCGTGGTGCAGGGACATCTGCCCGGCCTTCAGGGGGCAGGGGACGGCCTGGGTGGCGTCGAAGAGCTGCTCGGGGATGGACTGGTTGGAGGTCAGCAGGTTCCCTTCTTTGGTCTCAGACACGTGCTCCAGCAGGCCGGACTTGTGGGTACCTGGTGAGAAAAAATGTGGGTACCTGGTAAGACAAAATGTGGGTACCTGGTGAAACAAAATGTGTGGGTACCTGGTGAAACAAAATGTGTGGGTACCTAGTGAAACAAAATGTGTGGGCACCTGGTGAAACAAAATGTGTGGGTACCTGAAAATGTGTGGGTACCTGGTGAAACAAAATGTGTGGGTACCTGGTGAAACAAAATGTGTGGGTACCTGGTGAAACAAAATTTGTGGGTACCTAGTGAAACAAAATGTGTGGGTACCTGGTGAAACAAAGTGTGTGGGTACCTGAAAATGTGTGGGTACCTGGTGAAACAAAATGTGTGGGTACCTAGTGAAACAAAATGTGTGGGTACCTAGTGAAACAAAATGTGTGGGCACCTGGTGAAACAAAATGTGTGGGTACCTGGTGAGACAAATGTGTGGGTACCTGGTGAAACAAAGTGTGTGGGTACCTAGTGAAACAAAATGTGTGGGTACCTAGTGAAACAAAATGTGTGGGTACCTGGTAAAACAAAATGTGTGGGTACCTGGTGAGACAAAATGTGTGGGTACCTGGTGAGACAAATGTGTGGGTACCTGGTGAAACAAAGTGTGTGGGTACGTGGTGAAACAAAATGTGTGGGTACCTGGTGAGACAAATGTGTGGGTACCTGGTGAAACAAAGTGTGTGGGTACGTGGTGAAACAAAATGTGTGGGTACCTGGTGAGACAAAATGTGTGGGTACCTGGTGCAACAAAATGTGTGGGTACCTGAAAATGTGTGGGTACCTGGTGAGACAAAATGTGTGGGTACCTGGTGCAACAAAATGTGTGGGTACCTGAAAATGTGTGGGTACCTGGTGAAACAAAATGTGTGGGTACCTGAAAATGTGTGGGTACCTGGTGAAACAAAATGTGTGGGCACCTGGTGTTAAACTGTAACTGCCGAGCCCAATAAAGATTTGACCCTTGCGAAGGGTGAAATACACATGTGTTAGCATCTACCTGCGGCAACAGAGCACTCACCTGTAGTAGCTGAGCACCATCACTAGCTGAGCACCTCACTCACCTGGTATAACAAACATGCAGGCATTTTCTACGTCAGCGTCGTCAATGGCCATCCACACACTGATGACGTCACCCTCTACTCCCCAGTACCTGAAAATGTTGACATACAGTTAGTGAGTTCAGACCGAACCCCAGGGAAGTGTTGATCACGCCATAGACTGACCTCTTTTGAATCCCCGGGCCATGCTTAGACTGAACCCTCCAGAGACCTTTTACTCCCCCGGCCATACAAAGACTGGACCCTTCATACAGTTTTTGTCCAAGCTATAAACTTTGGCCACATTTCATCAAGATCTAATCTAGAAGCAGCCAAATTATTCGGGCTGCAGCTATAGAATACTGAATGTGAGATGTGATCGCCGCTTCTTGGTGGGGGACATGTGTTTGGTTTCACTGCGTCGCTTGTTGCCATGGTAAACAAAGAAGGGGGGGGGGTAGACATACAGTTTATACATAACAAAGGTCAAGGTAGACTTACCTGACATCTTGGTGCCAGGCCACAAAAGCCTCCTTTTCCTCAGCAGCCGACACGGGATATTTGCAGATAAATCGTGAGTCCAGTAGGAACAGGTTCGGCCCCAGTAGAGTCTGAAACAGATTTTATCTTGAGTCAATTTTGACTTTCACTTACATGTAGTCTTTTCTCGTGTATTTGACTTTGCTTACCTTGAGTGGTTTCAGCATGTTGGGGTGTGTGGCAAGCCTCAGAACCCACTCGTCCGTCAGGTGTTTGTTGTGGAGGGAGTAGGTGGCGTTTTCTTCTCCTACAAATTGAGGACATGGTTCAATGCTGGTCTAAAACTGACAGTAAACGTGACCTAATTAATGTGAGCTCAACCAAGAACTCACCAATTTCGTTCTGAACTTTGTCGAAGTTGGCCCTGACTTCCAAAGTTTCTTTTTCATCCAGAACATTCAGCCCTGACACGTAGCCGTTGACGTCAAAAAACTCAACCAGCTCTTGGCCTTCTAAACCGGACATTTTGGCTTGTCTACAGAAAATATTAGGACATTTTGGCTTGTCTACAGAAAATAAGAGGACATTTTGGCTTGTCTACAGAAAATATAAGGACATTTTGGCTTGTCTACAGAAAATATAAGGGGACATTTTGGCTTGTCTACAGAAAATAAAAGGGGACATTTTGGCTTGTCTACAGGAAATAAAAGGGGACATTTTGGCTTGTCTACAGGAAAAAGGACATTTTGGCTTGTCTACAGAAAATATAAGAGGACATTTTGGCTTGCCTACAGAAAATATAAGAGGACATTTTGGCTTGCCTACAGAAAATAAAAGGGGACATTTTGGCTTGTCTACAGGAAATAAAAGGGGACATTTTGGCTTGTCTACAGGAAAAAGGACATTTTGGCTTGTCTACAGAAAATATAAGAGGACATTTTGGCTTGCCTACAGAAAATATAAGAGGACATTTTGGCTTGCCTACAGAAAATAAAAGGGGACGATTTGGCTTGTCTACAGGAAATATAAGGGGACATTTTGGCTTGTCTACAGGAAAAAGGACATTTTGGCTTGTCTACAGAAAATAAAAGGGGACATTTTGGCTTGTCTACAGAAAATAAAAGGGGACATTTTGGCTTGTCTACAGAAAATAAATGAGGACATTTTGGCTTGTCTACAGAAAATAAGAGGACATTTTGGGTTGTTTACAGGAAATAAAAAGACATTTAGGTTTGTTTACAGAAAATAAAAGAGGACATTTTGGTTTGTCTACAGAAAATAAAAGAGGACATTTTGGTTTGTCTACAGAAAAAAAGAGAAAAATCTGGCTAGAAAATGAAGCCGTTGATTTTTATTTTTTTTTGTCAATTATTGTTTTCATGTTGTTTTTGTAGTGAGTTTTTTTTATATTCTCATTTCATAGCTTTTTTATTAAAACTACTCATTAATTAAATATTTTTGAAAAATATCAAAATATTGTCAAAATAATTGTTAGTAGAAACTATTTTTATAATTCTACTTTAAATCGGCGATATATCTTTTTCATTTGTCATAAATCACAACTAAACCAGATATCCGAATGTAGACAGAAGCGATCACAATAAAAACAAGAGCACGTGAATATCAAGCAGTTGATTCAAATAAAATGCTACTTTACCGTTTGGAAGTTTAGGTGATTTCAAGATGAGCGAACACTACCGTCAACACTGTGGCCACACGAACTGTCTGCCTACTTTATAAACCTTCTGACGGTCTGTCTACTTTATAAGGGCGCAAGCTTCACTTGTAAAACGTTGTGAAAAATACAAATGTTTGCTGAGTTTAAAAACCGCCTTTTTGTTTTCATTGGCCAATCATCTCTTGAGTTTAGAGTTCCCCCGTGGTATAGATCTATTTGAGCGGCTGTTGACTCGAAAATTGTATGCAACAAAAAGATGGATACAAAGTAATTAGCTTGCTCAAAGTCAGGGGGAGACAAGCGGGCTGTTTATACAGATGGGGGTCAAAAAACTGGCCAACAAATGATGGCCAACGTGAGCTGGCCAACGTGTGATGGCCAACATGTGCCGGCTAACACGTACACAACCTGGCAAGGATCTAAACCATCACATGTCAAATACTTCACCCGAATCTTTAGGGTAATTTAGTGAGGACGAATCACTTTTATTAAATGGTACTTTTCTGTTTTCGCTTGTCTACAATAGACGTGGCTCTAGCTGCAGCCAAACTAGCACCTGGTGCCCATAGCTAGACCTAAATATCACGACACAGCCCTCGACCTAACACTATCTTTACAAATACCCCAGGGTACCATGGTGATTGGGGCCACTGAAGTACACCCCTTCCCCCTTTTTATCTAGAAAATTTATGCTTAGCCAGTGTCCGCACCCTTGCCCCCGAATGTATAACATAAATGGAGAAAAATAACACGACTAACATTTCAACTTAAACTGTATTAGAGATCATATTCCTTACTATTTTTTATGGACTAACGTAATAGCCGGGGAGTAATTAGCTCAAGTTCGGTAACTCCAATCCACCTTTTAGTCCTATTGTTCTCATCCTCGTAGCTTTCGTCAAGGGAAACAACCAACAACGAACAATGGTTTGTTTTCACTCGAGCAGATAATTACCTAACAAAGGGGGCTCACTGGGAAAACAATGACCACTACGTGATGAGGTCAATCGTCTGCGTGTCTGTCGTCAGGTAGGTTTTGAAACAGGTGAGTAGTTAGCAGAGTGAGGACATTCTAGGTCATCTTGCCCGAGTAAGTAACTCACACACAGCATTCTTGTCGTGGCTTAAATTAACTTAATGTGTCTAAATGTTTTATTTTTTAAACATCACTTTTTAAGCAGAGCTGTAGTTGGTGGTCCTTACTGAAGTAGGACATAGATTTATGTAGAGCTGTAGTTGGTGGTCCTTACTTAAGTAGAACATAGATTTATGTAGAGCTGTAGTTGGTGGTCCTTACTTAAGTAGAACATAGATTTATGTAGAGCTGTAGTTGGTGGTCCTTACTTAAGTAGAACATAGATTTATGTAGAGCTGTAGTTGGTGGTCTTTACTCAAGTAGGACATAGATTTATGTAGAGCTGTAGTTGGTGGTCCTTACTCAAGTAGGACATAGATTTATGTAGAGCTGTAGTTTGTGGTCTTTACTCAAGTAGGAGATAGATTTATGTAGAGCTGTAGTTGGTGGTCCTTACTTAAGTAGAACATAGATTTATGTAGAGCTGTAGTTGGTGGTCTTTACTCAAGTAGGACATAGATTTATGTAGAGCTGTAGTTGGTGGTCCTTACTCAAGTAGGACATAGATTTATGTAGAGCTGTAGTTTGTGGTCTTTACTCAAGTAGGAGATAGATTTATGTAGAGCTGTAGTTGGTGGTCCTTACTTAAGTAGAACATAGGTTTACAGAGCTGTAGTTGGTGACCCACATTCCGGCAGAAGTGGGAGGAGATGATGATACAACTATGTAAGCTGCAGTGAGATCTAGGAATGAAATAATGAAAAAAAAACAACGAAGTATCCAATCGACCCCCGAAGAATCATCATTTCAAGATGTATAGGTTTTTTTTTATTAGTAAAGGGTTTAATGTAAAAAAAAATGTTATAATATATATATATATATATATATATATATATATATATATATATATATATATATATATATATATATATATATATGTATATATATATATGTGGCATTTAAAATTCAAACAAAACTTTGAAATATCAAACATTTACAAATCTTCTGCTTTCAATTTTGCGTAGAAAATTCGATTAATTGTAATCGTTTTGTTGTTGTTGTTTATTGTTAAAGTGCTCTACGCAGTAAATAATTACCTATATTATTAGTTCCCTTTAATTTATTTGTTTCGCTGATTTTAATGTTTACATTTTACATCCTAGTTTTAGATGTATAGATTGCGCGTTGCGTTGTATTCCCCGATTCTGCACCATAAAATCCCCCTAAAGAACAGGGACCAGTAATACCTTCACGAACCCTAAACATGGCATCACTTTGTCGGACCCTAGTTTCTGATGGAGGGTAGGACATTGTAAAATGTAGCAGCGTTGGGTTGACCCTTCTTTCACGCTGATTCCACGAATACGCATTTTCATGCTTTTGATATATTTAATAAGGAGACGTCAAAGGATTTTGTTTTCTCCCAATGACTTTACCATTCTCTGAGAGTGTTGACCCATCAACTATTGACAGTAAGAAGAAGATTGGCACTCATGAATAGTAATAGAAACTGCATAAGACTGCAATCTTTTCACAGGAGTTAGTATTATCATCATGGTTTTCATCAGCATCCTTGATTTAATTCAGAATATTCTAGGTTTTATTACAATTAGACAAAAAAGCAATATTAACAGAGAGTGATATTTCAACGCCAAGGGTAGACAAAGGTACAGAAAATAGTCCAAGTAAAGACAAGCAGTCAGACACCAACGGGTTTCGAACCTACCATTCCACACGGTTTAGGTGCCGTGTGGAATGGTAGGTTCGAAACCCGTTGGTGTCTGACTGCTTGTCTTTACTTGGACTATTTTCTGTACCTTTGTCTACCCTTGGCGTTGAAATATCACTCTCTGTTAATATTGCTATTTCAGTTACAACGCCTGCTTCCACCCCCCTACACGTTTACAATTAGACATGACATTCAAAACGTTAAAATATTTAGTCTTATTTAAGTTTTAAATTATAGTATAACTGTTTCTGCTATTTAAATAGCATTGCCTTTGATCTTAATTCTCTAACAATGGTTGTCATTATTATTACAATTATGTCATACACATTATACTACAAGCTATACCTCGAATTGGAAATTTGAGTTGCCTAGAAATCACGTTTTAGATCAAGTTGTTTAGTTACATTCTAGGAAACTGCTTGGTATTTGTTGAAAATATTTGTAGATTCTTGAGAACAATTTTGGCTTTGTCTTTTCTCTTGCTGGCCTGTTTGAGACTACAGTGAAATCTCCGGCGGGTCTGGATAACAGTTATTATTTGACACTGTTTGACTTTTTCATGGGCCCAGTTCACAGAATTTTACAGGAAAATAAGGTGTCTTTTTTCTATTAAAGATGGTACACGTTTTTTTATAACGTGATAACATTTCAGAAAAATTTTTTTTTAAATATTACATGGCGAATATTACGTCTATAAATGTCGATTGACTAATACAGAAACGCGGCAATAATTTTTTTTTAATCTGTTTAGTCAAATATGTCATAACACATTTTTCTTCTGATTTTTATGGACTAATTATTCGTCCCTTTAACATACATCAATTTGCTGACTGAGAATGCGGGTGGCAAGTAATCGATTTCTCTTTTTTTTTAACGTTTTGACTTTATAATTCCTCTATTACGATTCCAGTTCAATTCATGTTATTTATTTATTTTGTCCGTGGATTTCATCGTTTAAGATAGACCGCCCACTTAATATTCAAACTATCTGTTTCTTCTATTCTTACCAGTTCCCTTATGATCGCGCACTTGTAAGTATGATAGACATGAATCAGTTACCAGTGTGTCTTTACTATGGCAAGCTTAGTGTTCTTAGAGGATAGAGTTTATCATACTCAGGAAAATCATTTCATTTCACACATAACATTTTCAACTGTATTAGTCTAGGGTTAGACAAGTAAGTTTTTTGAATGACGCTTAGACTGGAAACATGAAAGACTCTATTCCATATGTAGGTAATATCTTGGATTTCAAAAGCGGAGAATTGGTCCTGAGCACGTCCGAAAATTGGCTCAAAGAGTACTTGGAAAAGGCTAAAAAAGAATTTGATGAGCGTTTTAAAGCCAACCCCTCGTACAATGTGAGCAATAGTTTGCTTTTTCACACAATACTAGAGCATTCAAATATCATAGCATTCACACAAATATTATAGCATTCACACAACACTATAGCATTCACACAATACTATAGCATTCACACAATACTATAGCATTCACACAATACTATACCATTCACACAATACTAGAGCATTCACACTATACTAGAGCATTCACACAATGCTGTAGCATTCACACAACACTATAGCATTCACACAACACTATAGCATTCTAATAGATACCATAGCAATCACACAAATATCATAGCATTCACACAAATATCATAGCATTCACACAATACTAGAGCATTCACACAACACTATAGCATTCACACAACACTATAGCATTCACACAACACTATAGCATTCTAATAGATACCATAGCATTCACACAAATATCATAGCCTTCACAAAAATACGATAGCATTCACATAACACTATAGCATTAACACGGAATGACATCTCATGTCAGTACACATCACAACATATCTCAGTACAAATCTCATCACAACACATCTCATATTATTACAAGTCTGATCCTAAGATATCTCAAGTTAGTAAAACTAATATCACAACACATCTCATATTATTACAAGTCTGATCCTAAGATATCTCAAGTTAGTAAAACTAATATCACAACACATCTCATATTATTACAAGTCTCATCACAACATATCTCATGTTAGTAAAAATAATATCGCAACATATCTCATATTATTACAACTTACATCACAACAAGCTCCCATATCAACACGTCTGACGTGTCCACACATTGTCCCACGGTTACAGGAGTCCATACGGAACTTTACTCTGATCAGAACGTTGGGGTCCGGGTCGTTTGGACGAGTCATGCTGGCCCAACACAACAGCGACTCGTCCGGCAAGTGCTTCGCCATTAAAATTCTTAACAAAGAGAAGGTTGTTCGGACTAAACAGGTTGGTCGTAATTCTTAACAAAGAGAAGGTTGTTCGGACTAAACAGGTTGGTCGTAATTCTTAACAAAGAGAAGGTTGTTCGGACTAAACAGGTTGGTCATAATTCTTAACAAAGAGAAGGTTGTTCGGACTAAACAGGTTGGTCATAATTCTTAACAAAGAGAAGGTTGTTCGGACTAAACAGGTTGGTCATAATTCTTAACAAAGAGAAGGTTGTTCGGACTAAACAGGTTGGTCATAATTCTTAACAAAGAGAAGGTTGTTCGGACTAAACAGGTTGGTCATAATTCTTAACAAAGAGAAGGTTGTTCGGGCTAAACAGGTTGGTCATAATTCTTAACAAAGAGAAGGTTGTTCGGACTAAACAGGTTGGTCATAATTCTTAACAAAGAGAAGGTTGTTCGGGCTAAACTGGTTGGTCATAATTCTTAACAAAGAGAAGGTTGTTCGGACTAAACTGGTTGGTCATGCGTTGGTTGAATCTTAAGTTTGGCGACCACAACAAATATCTATCCTACGGAAAGTTTCAATGTTATGAGCCTTATCTGTCACGTGTGTACCAAATGAGTCTATAAATAGCAGGATGTATCACATAATACCTGAGCTCGTCTGTTTCAGGTTGATCACACAATCAATGAGAAGCGACTGCTGGGCAGTGTCGGAAATTTTCCGTTTATCATACGACTTGTGATGGCATTTAAAGACACGACGAATCTCTACATGGTGATGGAATTCTCCCCGGGAGGGGAGCTTTTCCGGTTGATCAGGTAACTCTGGCCGCTCGTCTTACGTGAGAACATCTCCACACTAGCAATGTTTCTTCCATACTTTTCTCCGGGGGGGGGGGGGGGGCACTTGAAATTTTCAGGGGAGGGAGCGGACTAAAATTCTAAAATTTCCGGGGGAGCGGACACTTAAAAGTATATATTTTCTATATAAATTCCCTCGAAGAGATCCCTGGAAGAAACTCTGCACACTTGTCCAGATGAAGGTTTCTTAAATAATTCTTAAATACTGATATAGTCTAGTTAGTTGCACTCAATTTTTCAATTGAAGAAAATGACAAAAATAACGACAGGGTTGTATAAAGGGGACTAAATGTTGCAAAATGATACCAAATTTATGTTTATAGGATAAACGGTTCTCTAGATATGACGGTTTTAGTGTAAAAATTGCGGGGACAACTAAGCCTATGGAAAATGAAACCAAAAGTTGGTCACGTCGAGAGTACGAAAAAAGCGAATGGAAAAATCTTCTAATAAAAGGCATAATTATAATTTCTCAAAATTATTACATTATCGCAGTTTAACTTTGCGCGCGTCTAGGCTAGAGCGAAGAGAGTAGGTTACGTAAGACTAAATAAATTGTAATAAAATGTTTTTAAACAATCTAGTTTATTAGCTTTAAATATATTTACGCTTAAGGAAATACCAAAGCTAGATTAAACTGTCAATGAAAGCTTAATAATAAAAAAGCCTAAAATTAAGTAGGTTTATCGTTTAACACTAGGCCTAATTATTTAATCTAGTAATTAATTACTAAGACTAAAATCTAAATGTAAAGAAATAGGATCTAGATCTAGATCTAGATTCTAGTACTAAACTAATTAGCTAGACTCTACCCTAGAATCTAGATCTAGACCTAGACTCAACCCCCATCGCCATCATATGTCTAAACTTAAAGTTTAACTAGATCTAGAATTCTAGATCTAGATCTAGATTTAAATGAAATTCACTTTCACGATTATTGAATTTTTTACGGACACCTGCATGGTGCATTAAAATTAAATTAATTTAAAACAACAAAGATCTAGATCTAGCTCTACTCCAAAATTCAACCCTGATTGTTCATGGTCTACGATGAGCCCTGGCCTTACGTGAAATCTATTACTTATTTTATAGCATACAAGGAAACTTATGCCTACATTAAAAAATAGAATAAAACAAATTCACAGAGTGTGTCTGTTTATTTTATTAAATATTATATAGGAAAGTCCCAAAGTTTACAAGCTTTTAATTTTAAGAGTCATGTGTGAATAGAAGCAATAATCTGGCTAGTTTTGTGTACAGTGTAGGATGTGTAGTCTCAAAGTCAAATGAATAAGCTAAAGGCTGATTATTTATGAATATATTAATACATGCATCTGATTTGCAGGAATAATCAGGTATATCATAACTACATATCTGGTCAGTCCTGCTAATCAGATGCATATATTATTATTAGATTTATAGTTATGATATTGACAAATATGAACTTAGAATTGTATTTTGTTGAACAAGGAGCAGTCACAAAAATTTATATATAAATTCTTGTGTTTTATAAAGAGACTAACTTTGTGCATTGCAATGAGTATAGCTTTAATTTATTAAAAATTGTACAATATAACTTCTAAAGGAACATTGCAATGGATATAGCTTTAGTTATTAGTTTATTAAAAATTGTACAATATAACTTCTAAAGAAACATTGCAATGGATATAGCTTTAGTTTATTAAAAATTGTACAATATAACTTCTAAAGGAACTTGTAAATTAAAACTCAAACAACAGATGCTTACTGATCATATCAGTTATTAAAGTAGCTACATTGAGTTCTGAGTCTTCACTATTTTCCTCATCAATTGACCAATAACTTTCAATAAGCAATTACAAATCTATCAAGTTTTGTCTCACTAGCTGAGTCTTAAGACATTCTACCAAAAAACAAGGTGTCATTTTCATTTATACATTCCCACTTGTGTTTTAGCAGTTGGCCAGTCTATCTTGATAATTTTAGCTAACACTTGTTTTTGTCTGGTCTCCACATTGCAGAATATTTCATCATTAATAAAGAACTGACCTTTTGCCAACTTATCAACATCTATCTTTAACTTCTTTCTTTCTTTCTTCTATTTCTCTTTAATTGACTCTTCTCTTCTTTGTATGATTTCAATTTCTCGCTGTTGGGTTTTGTGTGATCTTTGCCTGCGAGCACCTTCAGTTATAGCAAAATCAATTAGCTGATTTTGTTCATTGATACTTTTTGCATCAAGCCACTCCATTGATTTATTTAATTTAACTTTAACCTTTTCTCATAGATAGTGGTGTTGCCTGTGTGTTTATTCCTACATAAGGTTCATTGAAATAACTAACCAACTGTTGCCAATTTCTTTCAGGGTTTGATTTTAAGAGCATGAATTTTTTTTTTGATTTTGTTTACAAATTACATAGTTTCTGTTAGCAAAATAATTTTTTGTTGTTTTTATATGTCTGTTTCTATCTAATAGCTTATCAAGTACCTTGGAGATATTTTTATTTTGTATATAGTACAAATAAACTACATTGCCTATTCACACTTAACCACTTTCACCAGAATAACTTTGATAGAGATTTACTACATTCAAGGCATTCTTCTTCCCCATTCTGTCTTGCCTATAAATAATGAAATCATAAGTAGTTAATTATAGTTATATTATTTATTTTTGACAATGGATAGCTAAAAAAAATTAATAGTTCTACTTATAATATATTTTATTATTTAAAAAAAAATACACGGACCTTTTGAAGAAGGGCATCGATACCACTAATTAAAAGAGTGACTGGTTTTTGTTTTTGTAACGTCCGCAAAAAATATGTTACTACTAATATATCAAGTTATAGGCTTAATAAAGTTAATTAAACTTTAATAATATTATGTAACCCTCACTCATATTAATATATTTATTACAGTTATTAGTTAAACAAAAAATTAGTGTGTTTGTGAGTGCTTAAAAAGAACAACTGAGTAATAATAAGCTAGTAAGTCGAAAACAACGATATGCCTATTTTAAAATATATAGTATATTTAATAGGCATACTTAATAGGTTGACAGACATTGCAAAATGGTGTTTTATTAACAAGAACCTTACAATTTAAACAATAATTGAATCACTAATTTTAATTTTATCAATATTAATCATGTTTAAAGCCTTTAGAGCTAATTAATTAACTAGTAAGTTCGGGGCTTAAATACTAGATTTAAGGCTGATCGGAGATGCGTGTTAAGTGGTATCGATATTACTAGTATTGGTCTACTTTGTGAGACCATTTTCAATATTTTCTACATTGCTAATAATTAACAATAAGAAGTCTACTAGTGCATTTAATTAAATAGATGGATATATTACACTCGATCCATGTTTAGTTTAAGTGTGTATCTTTTTACAGTATTTTATTTTAATAGCTCGATTCCCGGTTCGATCATGATTACAGCGAATTAGTTACAACTAGAGCGGGCCTTCAAAACGTTACATATTTGTATAAATGTGTTTTGTATTAACATTTAACACAAGATAATTACGTTAGCAACATTTAAACTCCAATTTTGTAAGTATTCTTTTTTTTAAAAGCGTCAATGTCATAAAATTTATTATATTTTACAATCAATCAATCGGCGCATAAAGGGGTTGAAAAAGTATCGATACCGTTAAATAGTGTCATTCGGAGGATTGCTTTGTGAGACGAAGTTCGTAGTCTGCTAAAGCGTAAAATATTACAAAAAAAATAGACTTAAGCAGAAAAATGGATTATTAAAATAATCCTAACAAATACAGAGCTAGTCCGAGTGTTAAAATATTTTAATACAATTTTTGAAAACTTACCTTTTTAAGTGGCTTGTGTTTTGACATATAGAAAATAATACATTACTTTAAACTTTCCAATTGTGTTTGTGTGTTACTGTTATGTAATGTTTAACCACAATTGTATTTGCAGGTTATGTACCATTTGACCATAAGACACCTATCAAGCTGTATGAAATGATCGTAGAGTGTAACGTCAATTATCCCAGCCATTTCAAGCCGCAGCTCTCAAACCTCTTGTCCAAGCTCATTCAGGTAGTTACATCTGTCACAAAGATCCCTGTCACAAAGATCCCTGTCACAAAGATCCCTAACTGTTACATCTGTCACAAAGATCCCTGTCACAAAGATCCCTAACTGTTACATCTGTCACAAAGATCCCTAACTGTTACATCTGTCACAAAGATCCCTAACTGTTACATCTGTCACAAAGATCCCTAACTGTTACATCTGTCACAAAGATCCATGTCACAAAGATCCCTAACTGATACAACTGTCACAAAGATCCCTAACTGTTACATCTGTCACAAAGATCCCTAACTGTTACATCTGTCACAAAGATCCCTAACTGTTACATCTGTCACAAAGATCCCTAACTGTTACATCTGTCACAAAGATCCCTAACTGTTACATCTATCACAAAGATCCCTAACTGTTACATCTGTCACAAAGATCCCTAACTGTTACATCTGTCACAAAGATCCCTAACTGTTACATCTGTCACAAAGATCCCTGTCACAAAGATCCCCAACTGTTACATCTGTCACAAAGATCCATGTCACAAAGATCCATGTCACTAAGATCCCCAACTGTTACATCTGTCACAAAGATCCCCAACTGTTACATCTGTCACAAAGATCCCTGTCACAAAGATCCCTGTCACAAAGATCCATGTCACTAAGATCCCTAACTGTTACATCTGTCACAAAGATCCATGTCACAAAGATCCCTAACTGATACAACTGTCACAAAGATCCCTAACTGATACAACTGTCACATAGATCCCTAACTGATACAACTGTCACAAAGATCCCTAACTGATACAACTGTCACAAATATCTCTAACTCTTACATCTGTCACAAAGATCCCTAATGTTGCATCTGTCACAAAGATCCCTAACTGTTACATCTATCACAAAGATCCCCAACTGTTACATCTGTCACAAAGATCCCTGTCACAAAGATCCCCAACTGTTACATTTGTCACAAAGATCCATGTCACTAAGATCCCCAACTGTTACATCTGTCACAAAGATCCCCAACTGTTACATCTGTCACAAAGATCCCTGTCACAAAGATCCCTGTCACAAAGATCCATGTCACTAAGATCCCTAACTGTTACATCTGTCACAAAGATCCATGTCACAAAGATCCCTAACTGATACAACTGTCACAAAGATCCCCAACTGTTACATCTGTCACAAAGATCCATGTCACAAAGATCCATGTCACTAAGATCCCCAACTGTTACATCTGTCACAAAGATCCCCAACTGTTACATCTGTCACAAAGATCCCTGTCACAAAGATCCCTGTCACAAAGATCCATGTCACTAAGATCCCTAACTGTTACATCTGTCACAAAGATCCATGTCACAAAGATCCCTAACTGATACAACTGTCACAAAGATCCCTAACTGATACAACTGTCACATAGATCCCTAACTGATACAACTGTCACAAAGATCCCTAACTGATACAACTGTCACAAATATCTCTAACTCTTACATCTGTCACAAAGATCCCTAATGTTGCATCTGTCACAAAGATCCCTAACTGTTACATCTATCACAAAGATCCCCAACTGTTACATCTGTCACAAAGATCCCTGTCACAAAGATCCCCAACTGTTACATTTGTCACAAAGATCCATGTCACTAAGATCCCCAACTGTTACATCTGTCACAAAGATCCCCAACTGTTACATCTGTCACAAAGATCCCTGTCACAAAGATCCCTGTCACAAAGATCCATGTCACTAAGATCCCTAACTGTTACATCTGTCACAAAGATCCATGTCACAAAGATCCCTAACTGATACAACTGTCACAAAGATCCCTAACTGATACAACTGTCACAAAGATCCCTAACTGATACAACTGTCACAAAGATCCCTAACTTATACAACTGTCACAAAGATCCCTAACTGATACAACTGTCACAAATATCTCTAACTCTTACATCTGTCACAAAGGCCCCTCTAACGAATATTTTATTCTAATAGCACCTGTCACACCCGACATGACTAATTGATTATCAATATTGAATAATTAAGATCCCCTCATGTTTTTGGCAGTGGCGTTTATTCTCTATGACCGGTGCTTATAATTATAATGTTTACATATGCATCAGAGCAACAGGTGACATTACATCAGACATCCAGAATATTCTCAGTTTAGTTAATCATTAATTAAAGCTAGTGTAAAAGCAAAAAGAAAATTAAAAATAGGAAAAGGTTTTAACAGAGTTTAAAACAGAATACTCTGAACTGACCAATCAATGTTATAAGATTTGAGATTTTTTAAAACTGTAGGCCTTACTACAAATAATTCCTGACAACTTTTAAAATAAATAATAGACATGAAAAATGGTTGTGAGATCTGAAATCATTTTCAAATTTTCCTTTTAGAAAACTGCAGAAGAATATGTAGTTTGCAACAAGAACAACTTGTATCCATGTTTTTATTTATTTAGTAGTCAAGCAGTCAAACTTCCTGTTTTCTATGATGCTTCATTTCAACTTTGTTCTCCTCTCTTGAAAGATAGACGTCACTAAACGATATGGCAATCTCAAAGAGGGCGCCTTTGACATAATCAACCACCTCTGGTACAAGGATGTTGACTTTCGGAAAATAATAACCAAGGCCTACCAAGCACCATGGATTCCACATCTTAAAAATGAAACCGATACCTCAAATTTTGAGCGCAGTAAAGAAGAAAGCATTTCTATTTTGAAGACTGATAAATACGTTGAAGAATTCATTGATTTCTAAAATCTTTCGGATCACTCTACCAGGAAATAACACCCAAAGTGAAACAGCAACTTGTAGCGTTTGTTTTAAAAAGATGGAATGTCGTATCCACTGAAACAAACTATATAGATGGGTTCTGAATAAAAATTAACATTTAGTAAAGCTTTATTGGCCAGTTGGGCTCAAGTTTTACTAAAAACAATTGTCTCAAGCAGCTGGTTTGCTGGTCTCTACAATGTAGCGTTTTCTAAGAACCAATCAGACTAAACTAGACAGTATTTAATTCAAATATGTAAACTATTGGTTGCAAGAAGTTAAAATTATTCTGTTTAGATTATACTTTTCAAATATTTTTGAATGAAAATATATTTGTGTTTAAATGCGACAGGCTTAAGAAATTAGAAGAGAGGCAGTAATTAGTTGATTAGACCCTGACTGGTCCAGTCCATCATATTGCTCATGTTTAGGTTCTCTATAATTCATGTTTCAACAAGAAACAAATGTTTGTGTTCAACATCTTATGCAGCTATTTTTAACCCTTCATTACACTGATTAAATCACTTTCAATCAATAACAGAATTACCTGTAACATTAGGATAATTTTTATTTTTTTAATAAATCCTCAAAACAATAAAAAAAAATAAGTATTGAAGGAAGAGAAGCTTTTAATGAATATTTGATTTAAATGATCCTCGTCATGACCATAATAATGCTTTGTTTGCTCTGGGTGTGAAAGCGGTTTGAAATGTCTTGAATGGCTGGATGTCTGGCACACAACTAGAAGGTGATCTGGGACTAATTTATATGACAGGAAACCTGGATGTACTTTCAACACGATTAGTTGGTTTTTTTTTTTTTTACATTTCTCAAGCCAATGTTGTAGATGTTTTTATACATTTATTTTTCATAATAATAAAGTCTTTTATTTTGATGCCTTCTGATGGTGTTTCTTTTGTAAATTATTGTTTTAAAATCTTTATAAAAGGCTATACAATTAATATAAATCAACTAATAACAAACCCATTATCGAAGTAACTCGATGTAATTTAGATTTTAAACATTTTTTATTTACCTTTTTAATAAAAGGAAATTTATGTTCTCAAACTGAAGCTAGTTGATGGATCTAAGCATAGCCTTAAATAATATTTATTAAAACAATAATCTGAACATAATGGACTGCCATACAACATATGACAGAAAGTGAATTTTGTGATACCACCATGGCATAAGGATACCTAAAGCCAGTATCACATTCAGTTTACACAACTTAGTTGCAAGTTTTTAAATTATATACCAACCTCCCACACAAACACATTATTCAAACCTTTGTATTCAATGACAACCAGTCAAGCCTAATATAAATCTCCTTTAAAAACTTTATTTAGAAACTTCATGTTGGTAATATGAAGCTATCCCATACTGTCCTTCTGTTGCCTTGACCACTGGAGTTTCACCCAACTTTTGTTCCAGCCCTTTCCAACTTCTGCTGGCCAGGTATTCTCCTGCAACAAAGATGATGGACAAAAAAACTTGGATCAAAATGTTTTTCATACAATTTCAAAACTCTTCAGACTAATTTATATTTTTTTTTAAATATTTTTTTTTAAAATTGAAGTCTACCGGCATTATCTGCTGATATGGCCACAGTCATCTGTTCTGATCTCAATGAAAGCTCTGTGCTGGTGCTATGGCTGACATCAGGCTGGTCTCTTATGCCAATGGTCCTCACTTTGTTACTTATTGGGCTTGTAAGTTGTTAAAGTAGCTTACCAAGTTCTCGCTCCGGTAGTTGCCAGCTAGCGTTTTTTTGTTTTTTCAAACCAAATGTGAATATTTTTTATTAATTTTTTTTTTAAGTTATGATATCTACTTTCGTTTTTGGAATAAAAAAAATTCCGACAATAAGTTGTTTTAAGTAAATTAAGTTTAAAATAACACACACACACAAATATATTATATTTTATACAGATCTAGATAGATCTGGAATACAACCTGTATAATAATAATACATCTATATAAAATATGATATTTATAGGCCTAAAAGATTTCAATCGTAAATCTGAAATCAAGCCTATATTATATAGCCTAGATCTAGAGTTCTAGATCTAGAATTCTATATCTAGGTCTATGACTTAAAAAAACGCCCTCTTGAAAATTCCGACTTAGACGGTAACATACGACATACAGGATTTATTTTTAATTTATAGACTCAAGAGTAGTCTAGAGATCTAGATTCTAGATCTAGTTTCTTTTATTTTACAGTGTAGTTGAGTGGAATTAATTACTAAAATTAGGCCTAATAAATAGGCTATTTTCTTTAAGACAGGTAGATTAGAATATGTTCAATATCAATTTATATATAGAATCTAGATTATTCTAGATCTAGTGAAGTTTAGTGTAGTCTTGTTGTAGAACTTCAGAACTAAATCTCGAGTGTAGGCAACTGTAGTAATTTAGATCTAGAATCTAGTACTGTGTGACGTCATTTTAGGGGCTGGGGGTCTGGCTTTTTGTGACAATGTGTAGGGGGAGGGGGGAGGTAAAAATCGTCCAAAAATGCGTGACGTCATTTATAGATGACCCCCATGGAGAAGATCCACACAGAAACAGTTGAAGGAAAAGGGACTAACATTCAAACAGGTAGAGGTACCAACATGATTTTAGAGATTATGTAGATATACATATATATATATAGGGGGAGGGGTAGAGAGAGAGAGGGTTCATCTGTAAATTGCATCACACATTTTATGATGATTTTTACCTCCCCCTCATAAAGGAGGGCAGTAAAAATGTATGATAGCTGGGTAATCCTAATGCAACGTTGTTAATTTATATAATCAGATTATTGTGGTAAATAAAAGTCAACATATCTAGCCTAACAAAATGCCATGAATTTAAAATATATATTATGACTTAGAGAAAGTTTGGTGAAATGGAAATATCTGCAAATTTGATTTATGGATGATGTGTAACTTGTTTATATTATTCCTTTGGAACTGATATTAATAAAAAGTTAATGAAATTATAGAGTTTTATCCTATTGATGTTTCTAAAGCCTTGCATGAACTTAATTTAAATATATTTAGCTGCCCAGGCAAAGAACCCAATGAATTTTCCAGAATTGGCTTGTCGTTTGACCGATGGTAACAAAGAGAATCACCCAGAATCTTCGCTGATAAGAAAATCTGAAGACGTACCTTATTCTTCTATACCTAAATGTTATTTGTCTAATGAAAATATTTATTCAGTGACAATTGCTAAAGATATTTTACCATTATTTCAAACATCATCTTCTGAAATGTTGTTTTCTATCTCTAAACCTTCCACAATTTCTTCAAGTTTCAAGAGATATTTTAACATCATTGCCTACTTCCCACAGTTCTTATGTTCAAAATTTGCAATTTTCTGAGAAACAATGTAATAATAAATTTGTACCCAGTGTTTTAGTTTCAGCTCCATTAAAATTTGATAAACCAATCAATTTCAAAATTAAATGTTTCTTATCCCATATGAAAGTAGTTTGTTTTATTTAAGAAAAATCACCTTTAAAAAAATTTAATGTTTGGATGTCAATAAATTGTTGACATGGACTGGTTTGCGGGTAAGCTTTTATACTTAGTGTACAATAAAGATTCAGTTTTGATGTCAATATAGTTGCTTCTGAAAGAATTAAACTATAAACAATAGCATTTATATTAATATTTCAATGGCAGTTCAGTATACTTTCATCATTGTTTTCAAATAACAAAACAGAAATAGTTTTAAAATTGAAAAAAAAAATGAAAAGAATTTCATAAATGGATGGTTTTTTAATTACTTAAAACAGAAGATGCATCAATACAGCATTACAATGTATATAATTAATATTTCTTTTCATGGACAATCATCATTTAAATTCTTCATTAAAAGTTAAATTCAGCTTCCTTGTGTCTAAAAATCCACATCCATGCTGTTCCATTTACCTAGAAATTAAATAAATAATATTTTTAACAACTTTCTGTAATATGAAAAAATTAATCATTGATTAAAACAGACAGCCAATATAGCAGTTGAATTAAAATTCACCTGTTTCTGTGACATTTGCATGTAAAATTAGAGTGTTCAGAGGTATATACCCAGCCACCTTTAATTTCCCTATCTTGAGCCAGGTACTCATGAGAGCTGGTACTCATGAGACTTAGGACATCATACCTGGACTAAAACCAGGGATCTGAACTCTTATCTTTTAGGATAGAAATGTGAAAGCTACTGTCTGACAGTCCCACTATCAAGCCATACATATTAATACTTACAGTAAATAATCTTAGTAGCAACATATTCTTTAAGAATTAGAACACTGAATCGATTTCAAACTTGGGCTTAAGCTGAAAAATGGCTTATTATAAAAAAAAAATTCAGCTCACCTTTAGTTCAAGATCAGCACAAATAGCCACAGTAAAGTGTGAGAAAATTGCTTGCCAAGTACCTAGAGAATTTAAATATAATAAATTATTAAGTTTATCCATATATTATATTAAAATAATCATTTAACTAATATGAGATATTAATATATATATATTTATATATATATATATATATATATATATATATATATATATATATATATATATATATATATATATATATATATATATATATATATATATATATATATAAAGTTTAATTTATTGTAAAGGTTCAGTTTTCTATCTACTTAGCTTGGGTTAAAAAACTAAAATATCTGGTTTACAGTTAACCATATCTTAACTATTACAAAACTATTAGTTTCATTTTCATTACTTGTGAATGTAACTTGTAAAAATTGTAGTCAATAGATCTAAAACTTAATTCTATTAACAGCTAACTGTAACCATACTGACTCTGACCAATTTATTAATTTTTGTACCATGTAATTCAATAATAATTAGGCTTATACTAAAAGGCTGAAAGTTATCAATTGTAGAATTTATAGTCCCTGGTCTAGACTAACAAGACTAGCCTACAAGTCTAATACTACTAATACACATGATCTAGTTTCTAAGTTTACTACTAGGCAACTTGCTAGAAGACTAGTACTTAACCAAACTTTATCTTGCTAAAAATAAAAGGGCCTAATACAATAGTAGATGGCCTAGTAATACTTTTTTTACTGTGCTACTTACACTGCTTTTGGTACTATTACTATGACTAACTAACTACTAACTAAACTCTATTGTAGCTTGATGGAGATCTATGATCTTGCTCTTCTAGTATTCTACACTACTTACTACTTAGAAAAGTAGTAGCACTACTGTAACAATTTCAAACTAAATTTAATCTATATAATAGATCTACTCATTGCAACACTGTAGTCTGATAAGTCTGTAAGCCCTAAGCCCTAAATGTATCTAGATTCTAGATCTAGTCTAATTTTAATTTAGTGTAAGTCTAGTTATTAGTACCTACACTCTACAATAGTCTACAGCAGGGGTCTCCAAACTACGGCCCGCGGGCCGGATGCGGCCCGCGAGGTACTTTCATCCGGCCCGCGGAGATCTTTTTGTCCACGTAAAAAAATGTTTGTTGGAGGTGGCTGAGGGACTTTGCCCAGAAAATTTGAATTTGTATCTTTGGGTGCAAATACTATTGCCTGCCGTGTTGCAGACATTGGTGAAAATATCGCGACTCAAATAGCGAAAAATGCAAGCAAGTTTCGCTATTTTTCATTTGCAATGGATGAGTCGCTGGACAGCTGTTCCACCTCTCAACTTCTTGTATTCATTAGAGGTGTGGATAAAGACATGAATATAACACAAGAGCTGGCTTCCTACATAAGATGTATGTCACTGTTACCGGAGATATTTTCAATTAGTTAAAAAAAACATTTGCTGATTATAACTTGGACTGGACTAACCTCAGTTACCGGACTTTTGATGGAGGAAAGTAAGATTTACTATATTTCACAGCAGTAAGATAGCTAATT